CAGCACACCCATGACACTATGCTGAGTTAACTTTATTAGAGATAGGAGAATAATATAAATAGTAGTGCCAACCGGCGAACATTGTCTTTATTCAAATAACTGTCGTGTACGAACATAGTTTTGTAATAAAATCCGATTTCTAAGAAATTGTTTTTTAAAAAGTCTTCGCGCTCGGCAAAGCACAAAATTTGCAATTTGATTACAACATTCGAGTTTAAAGAATATTGACGCAATCCTTGTTATCTTGACTCACTTTTGGAAAATCGAAAAACTTCAGTACTACTGTACACATTTTCAAAGTTATTAAAATGTGATTAATTACCCTGGCTGAACTTTGCTGCTTTCAAAGCAAATAACTAGTATAAACTCCTAGTTGTTTACTCTCCTTTGATGGTTTCATTGCCATTATTTAGATATGATTGTGTAATCGACGTTTACATCTGAAGTTGAATCGTTGTTTTTATCTGAAGGTTTTGTTGTACAATCTTACAGTAAATAGAAAAAATACCTGAGGAAAATATTTTTGCGAGCACTTCGTCGTAGTTGACCCCTTTGCCTTCCCTTTCGCAGGAAAACGACTTCAAATAGCCATTCAGCAAGCTTTCCCATTCCAGATCCAGATGGTCCGCATAGTTGTATTCCATCTTAAAGTATATCCAGCTCGTATCATTACCTAGAACCAAAAATAAGAAATAGTAGCACAGCTGTTTAAATATAAAAATAGTCTAATTTAAATATGAATTACGCTTTAAACGTCGCGTCTATTAAATTAACATAGACATAAGTAGAATGTAAACGAGGTTTTAATCAGCAAAGAATCATGGAAATGTGCTATTTACGTTGCTAGATTTTAGTTGGTTTTGGCGATATAGTCAAAAATCTGCATTGCACAACTTTCAGACGATTAGAGTGGTACTTACAGACATCCTAAATAAACCGTATTTACAATCCTACAAAGATTTAGATAAAAGTTATTAATAACAACACGATAAAGGCAAAACTACTGATTAGGTTCTATTAAAAGTCCCAACATGAGATACTTTCAAATTGCCTTAAAAACTCAAAAATAAACAGCGAATAACCCGAGCCTTATATAGCCGGAAAAGGAAAATAGAAAGCCCGATTAGCTAGCTAACTGTCTAATCAGTATTAATAACGGATTGTATGTTTTCAGACTTTTGCAAGTTTTACAAGCGTAATCGGAGATAAGACTCATGCAGAATCTTAGCACATACAAATTTATAACTACATAAGCAAGAATGTTATTAATGTGATTTTTACGTATAAAAGAGAAACAATGGCAAACATTGATTTTATAACTACGCGTGTTTGATTGTTATTGAAATATTGCTGTTTTTTTTTTTTTATTATTTTGACAGAATTATATATGGTATTAGAGTTCCCTTTATATAGAGCCAAACACTTAAATAAAGCAAACGACAAAACGTTCCTTCATACATCAAAATTTCCTTTCAAATATGTAAGTGTTATTGTAATGATCCTGATAAAGCCACTTTCACCAATTTTTTTAATTATTTGTTGCTTAGCTAGTAAAAAAAAGTATATTTCAAATAAGAACAAATAGGGATCAAGCGAATAAACGAGCAATAATATTTATTTACACAATTTATACATTTATTAAATGAAAATTAACAGCAATAATTAGATTAATATTTTCATGAATATCAAATTTATTGCATGAAAAGTACTTGGGACTCAGAATTGATTTTTTGAACAAGTAAACTAATAATTGTAAAAATAGTACAAAAGCGCTTTAATTACGTAATATTAATATCACTTAAATATCATAAAGATAAAGTAGTTTCGTGCTTGTCAAGAGTTTTTAACGTTAAAATTCCAATGTTTTAAACACTAAAAATACGGAACTTTTGATCCAACAGAACATGTTGGACACTACCAATTGATTAAGAATTTCCAGGACAAATAGATATTTTTAAAATATTGTTAAAATTATGTGCCAGATTTTCAAGATTTCAGACATCATTAAAAATAAATCGTTAAATTGTAACCTTTCTCTAAACAAATATGGACCCAAGTTGACAGAATTGTTTTTAAGTAGTTCGTCAATTGTCGTTTAAATTACAAATCTCGAGGGTTTAGTTGAAGATGTAGGTGGTCATGGAGAGCCAAATTTATTGTCCAGTTAAGAAACAATGGTGCATGACCTTTTTCAAGAGTGTTTCAAAACCACGTTTAAGATAAAAACATATACATATTTTTAACTTAAAAATATTAAGTTAAGTTAAGGTAGAATAAGGCTCTAGAGACTCATCACTTTACGCCCGCTATTGATCAAACTGTTTGAGCATATTTGTAATTATAAACAGGCTACAAGAAAGAAGGAAATTGAAGTTTTTCCAATGTAACTTTTGGAAAGATCAGAGAAACGAAATCTCTTGAAAGTTAAAAAACTGTACAAATGGGAGAAAATATAACAGAGAGGAACAGTAGAAGAATAATTAAAACTGGATGTAAGTATCATGCAAAATTAATGTCAGAAGATTCGTCCAAAATGATCAAAGTGAACGGCAGTTGACGGACAGATCAAAGTGACGGCAGTGAGTTTAAGGATTTAAAAAAAATAAATTTCATTGCGGGCCATAAATTCCAAAAAGCTGACAGAGTAATCTAAACTAAACAATCTACTTAAAACATAAAAATTAAACGCTTTAAATAAAGTTTAATATATTTGCAATTACAATTATATGTTTACCTTAATAAATCAACACAAAATCTTTAAACCTGTATCGGTTCCGTATGAAAGTACAATTATAGAACGTGCAACCATTAATTATTTCGACTTTAATCAGCTATAGTTTTGAAACCAGCAAAAATTTACTATACGAACTGGACAAAGTTCAACACATTTTTAATTCCCTGGAACTATTTAACGCTTATATGAAAAGTGATGATTATTTGAATTATAATTGGAAAGGAGCAAATTGGCTCACTTTGGTGCTTTAAGAATTATCCCTCTAGTTTTACTTATATTATCAAGTAACTGTTAGGTAAATATTTCGAATCGCAACTGGAACGTGTATCAGAAGGTCATTATAATTAATAAAGTACATATTATTAGAAATAATTACCGTAATCATTTACAAAAGAGACTTATTTACGTCAGAAAATAATTACATGTATGTCTGTAAAAACAATATGTTATTAAAATATTTCGTTATTCTGTTTTGCTTAAAAAATAATAGTTAATTAGATGCCTTTTTTCAAACCCTTTTGTACTTTATACCTTAATGTTAGCTTAGATTTCTTCTAAGTGAGGCTTCAAGCACATTCCAAAAAGGTTTTCTCCCTTTTATGATGAAGTTTTTCATTTTAGTAATCATAAATGGTACATTTTCATAATGATTCATTTGTAGGCAATATACCATTAATGAACGTTTTGAAGGAATTAAGTCCTCGGTGTTTCTTCAGGCTTAAAATGTGTGCATTTTTTAACAACATTTCATATTGTTACACTATTTGAAAACGTTTATAAATAACAAAATATGTTCAGTCGTTAATATGAAAATTTTAAATAATAATGTCGGTGCCTTAAAAACGTTTGCCTGTTAGCTAAAAGCTAAGCTTTACACATTGTTTTTAACATTTTCTCTCGTACTTTGATGATGCTGATGATGAGACAGCTTTGATAAGTGAATTTTTTATCTCAATTCTTGCTTGTTTAATTATTTGCATTAGAAAAAATGTAAGCAACCATTTCATAATCGTGAGGTGTATGATTTTCCTTTCACAAAGTATCTGTAAATCAGAAGAAGTTTTCATACCAATTTAAGTCAGTATGCTGTATGTCTGCATTAACTAGCATCGATCGAAACGTAGGTGAGCTTGCGACCATGTGAAGATCTTGGCCACACGCTTTTAATTCGTTCTGGTGTCCCGTAACTTATGTAATAACGAATATTTTAACGTCTACACTTTCTTTGACTTAAATAGAAGGAAAATAAGAATATCCTTCCTGATGTATTTTTAAGTTTTTCTTCTGATCGACCTACTTGCTTCCACATTTTCGAAATGTTTTTGTTATTTACCAATAGAAAGTTTGGAGTTAATCGAACGAAGAAACAACTAATTTCAACTGATTTCTTGTGAAGAGAAACAAAGTTCCAATAGCTTACCTATAAAGCATGAGAATTTTGATGTTTCGATGGTAAATCAAAAGTTTATAAATTATCGTCAACCTGCACCGATTTATTCATTCATTTCTTCGAACACATTCCAGAACTAATTGGTTTTGCCAATAAAACTTTAGAGGCTACACTTTTTCCATTTGCTTAGAAAAGTTTTAGTAACAAAACTCACTGATACTATTTGCTATGAAAAGTGATCCCAAGTTTACTCACCAAAAATCGTTTTAAGTTGGAAATGTCGTTATGTATTTTATAATGAAATGGTTGGTGTAAATAATGTACGTTGTTTTCTTTGTTGATTAGTGGCAAATGGCATTTAAGGCTACTAGTTTGGTTTAAGAGAGTGGAAATAGTCCCAATATTGACTATAATTATCTTAGGTTTCGTTGTTTTATCAATATTTCGTATGTCTATGACCGAATAACAAATAAATGTCTAAATGTACACACAAGGTTTCAATTGATAAAATTTTACAAGTTATGGATATAAGTTTTCTGAAGTAAATAAAATATGTATATATAAAATGTAAGATGCGCACTGCAAGTTTTCATATACTAATTAAATAACATAAATGACATCATTCATGAGAAACATTTACGTTGAAATTATGCAAAGCATGGAAAAATTGCAAGGAAATCTACCACAAACCGCTTTAAGTTTGGATGGACCGGAATTTTTCAGTCTTTCAAACATCACTTCCACACAACTTTATTGTTATTAAATCTCAAAAAAACGAATATCCTGTTGGGCTTTCACCGAATTGAACTAAGCACAAATTATTGCGAAAGAAATGATTTGCTTAACAGGAAAAAGCTTAAGTTTAAGTGAAGATGTTCTTTTAAAACTCCCTAAAAATAATAAACAGATGAGGCAATCTTAACTTAGAGCTCTTAAGATATAGTTTTAAGACTTAGTTGGGTGAGTTTCTATTGACTAATTGATCCTGATTTTTTTGGTACGAAAAACTATGTTGTCCGGTTGCTTCGTTTTATTATTCGATCTAAAAATTAATGTTAATCTTATCGCAATCGAATTACAACTGCTTATGGCGTCCAAGTCAACGATCTTAACAAACTTCAATTGAGATATTTAAAATAATTTATCTAATCATTGTACCGATTGCATTTGAATTTACTTACATTTTGAGACTCACGATACTGATCTAGCGCGTAATAAATGTGCACATTAGTATAAGTACTAAATAAAGTTCAAATAAAAAAGTCGACGAAAACTAAGCTGGCTTAAGGAAATTTATCCGAAAACTTCGACCTACAGGTTGGTTCATTGCACCAGACTCGCCTGTTTTCGTACTTTAATTGATATTGACTTGATACTATTTTCGGAAAAAAGTAAAATCATTAGTTTTAATTCGGTTGAGTAAGCTGGAGAGCATATGGAAGTTTCAAAACCAATAAAGATAATTACTTGCTTTCGAATTCTTTCGATGATGGGTTGTTTATCCGGTTTCTGTAGCGGTAACTTGTAGTCACTGAACGTCCTGAAGAAACACTTGTCGTGACACAGTAACCCAACTAAGGCACACAATTTCAAATATAAATTGACTCAATCAATCATGATTCCTCTGAAAGAACATCGCGCAATATACCCGTGGATCACTAGACGAACGCTGTGCTGGTGATAATCGACTATTCAACTATAACCTCTCGAGTGTCGTCTTTACTAAATTGATAATAATTATATGGAACCTGATGAATTTGAGTTCTGCGCACAAGATCACAGATGATCACAGGTCTACTAAGTCAGGTTTCACTCAGTATAAAAGCGCACTTAGGTAGGTATATCTGTTTTAGGAGCGGAATCCTCGCCTGACTTGTTTACCTCGAACCAACATACTTACCTATTTAATTAAATCAAATTAAATACTAATAGCTAATAACAGATAGCGATTTTTTCCAAATCCACTAATTTAGGCAAAACACACAATTCGTTAACCACTGGAACGATAATGAATGCCATCTACTGTTTGCAGTTTCAATCATTTATTAAATGGTAGCGGGAAACACATTGATCTTGGAAGCTCAATTACTTAAATTAACAACGGCCTTTTTAAAAGCTAATAATCAATTTTGTAGTTCACATCTTCGTATAATGTTTTCGGCTTTTTGTGGACTGCCATTTTCTCGTATATTAAACGCACAAAATCCGAGGGATTTGTCTTCATTAGGTTCGTGTCCAGGGCGCGCTCAGGAAGACCAGAAGTTGATAACAGGTCCTGAAATATAAAAAGTTGCTCGTTTACTCTCGCCTCTTTCCTTTTCAATTAATTCCAATAATAATTTTTCTTCGTGACACAAAACACGAATTTGTTGAAATGGAGTGTGAAAGTAATGCAGTACAAGGGGATGGAAAGGAAATGAATAAAGCTACAGAAAAAGAGAAGGAACTTAGCATGCGACATCTGCAAAATCTCTTAGAATCTGGTCTGTAACAATTTTAATTATTTATTCATTTGTTCTCATTGCATCAGGTATTTTCCTGATAAGATCTTGGTATCCAGCAATAAATATTTGAATGCTATGAAAAACTTGGCTGAGAAAGTATCGAAAGCGGTATCGAGAGCAAGGCAAACAAAAAAAAAACGCAACGCATCTAAGCGCAAGAGCATAAACTTTTAAAACATCTTTTTTCTCTTGGTCCATAAGCCAGAGGATGCCTAGAGTTTTTATTTCTTTCAGTCTCGCAAAAAAACAATTTTTCAATAAATACGCAATTAATGTTATAATGCCATTATTGCAATTGCGAAAGTACAAATGAAAAAGCAGGAGGATGAAATAAAGGAAAAGTTGCAAGCTGACACAAACGAAAAACAAACTAAATATGAGATGGAAAAAAATGTGTATAGGTGACAAGTTAAAGTTTATTTAATTTTCGTCGGAAAGAGACAAGGAATGCAACCTAATTAAAAGACACCGGGGTCTTTCCAGTTCCCAAATAATCAACGTTTTCTGCCTATTTTGAACGGTTTTTGACCGGTTGCAATATTCAACGGACGATATCTTCCTTATTATGAACCCAAAACCTTATTATTCGTTATTGGGCAGCTTGTTAGGTCGGAAACAATCCATTGAGGGCAAAAACACGGTTGTGAAATTTTGATTTTTGGACGAAAATTTCGATCGATTTTTGAAAAAAAATCAAGTTTCTCAAAATACATCGAATTCTACATCATTTTCATCGGAAAGTGACAAAGAATGCAACAAGACACCGGGGCCTTTCCAGTTCCCAAATAATCAACATTTTCTGTCTATTTTGAACGGTTTTTGAGCGGTCGCAATCTTCAACGGACGATATCTTCCGCATTATGAACCCACAAACTCCATATTCGTTATTGGGCAGTTTCTTAGGTCGGAAACAATCCAATAAGGGCAAAAACACGGTTACGAAATTTTGATCATAATTCATTTGTTATACACCCTCACCGAGCAATCAACAGCGCCTACCTCCAATGTTCTGGAAATATAACTTAATTATTTAGACAGCAGTAATGTTTCATGCTTACTCAATTTGGAATTGTGGATATAAATGTTGCATTCAAATTCGCATGTAACAAAAAATGAAAGAAGCAGTAGACGAAGAAAGTAGAAACATACGAGAGTAGAAACACGAAGAGGAACCAGAAGGTGATCCAGAAGAAAACTAAAGCTTTCCAAAGTTTGATTTTGCGAATTAGACTAGCGGGTGCTTAGTCCAAAGAGATTTGTCCAGTTTCATTATTGGAAATGTTCAGATTTGTAATTTCAGTTTAACAAAATACCTGTTCCCATTCAGTAAGTCACTACCAAGTTTGGGTTTTTTAAACTCAAACAAATACATATTATTATATTTTGTGTGTTTGTATACAAGCTACAACATTGTTATTGTTTTATCTAATTCAATTTGTTTATTTACATAATGAATAAAGGAAATTTTAATTGACTGATTAATAAAACAACTTTGATATGATAGCTAGTTATCTGAAAGTTATTCAAATTTTATCATCTTACGGGGTGACAAAGTGGCTACAGATCTAAACTAGCAAATGTGTTATATGAAGAAGAAAAAACCGAAAACAAAATCATAAACATTCCGATAAATCTCCAAACAATAGAATTTTTGAAACTTGAGAACGTGTCGTTGCTGAAAATAATTATAACTTTATTATCTACTGTTTGGATGTGTGAATTGACTTTTCAATTGCTTATTTACGTATGGAATGAGATGTGGAATGATGAAAATACACAAATATATTTTTCCAAATACCTGTTGATACAGAAATAATATTACAAAAACACAATTTATTTTTGAACTTTTTGTAAATGAACAGACTTTATTTAAAACCCCGTTTTTTTCTTATCAAGAAATTTAATTTGTGATTAAAAGCAAATTAGTTTGGAATGGTTAACAACTAACTAACTGTTGAAAATATTTAGTTGATTGAAAATAAAAATCCCAAACGTTAGCTTTTATAAAACAATAACCGTTAATCAGAAAAATAAAAGCAATAAAATTTGACTATTCCCAAAGTCTGTGATTTTGGTGATTATAAGCACTTAAAAATTGCTTTCAACGTCAAATGTTATTGTCGGATGCACATGCGAAAATTAGCACAGCCCGTTCGAAGGACCAGGTTTTCCATATATCCTGGGAATTTGTAAAATACAAATTTAAATCGACACCTTATGATCTAGTTAGATAATAGAAACGAAAATTGAAATTTACGTCCAATTGAAGCAGGAAAACACAAGCTGAATTTTAATTCATGCATTTGACTATTAAAACAGTGTCTTCATAAAGTCCCAAAAGTCCTAATCGAATAATCCAAGCATCATAAATGAATAATTTGCACTTCAATGAGCTTTTCATCAATTAACATTGTTATTGAATGGAAATCTATTTATTCATGCAAATAATCCAAAACGGTTTTTTGTTGACCAACTTTTATAATATACTAGTTTTTTATTCTATTATATGGAGATTTGATCAATTTGATAATTTTAAAAGTGATATAACGGGTTAGTATTTCGAAAAATAGTTATAGAGTAGCTTCTGTAAAACCAAATAATACAGATTATTTAATATTCATGTTGTCGCGATATGTTGGTTCTTAGCAGCATAAATTACGCGCATTTAACAGATATTCTTCGACACGTGTATTAGTTTCGGAATATATTAACATATCGACAAGTAGTTATTAATTGTTACGAAAAACGCCTCTAGCTCTAAGTCGAGCTATTTTTAGGTTGTTTATTTGTTTCAAATTTTTTTTTTTTTAAAGGGCAACAATAACTTAATTAAACTTTTACTAAATATTGAGTCATAATATTGGCAAGAAGTAGAAGCACAAATAAAGCAGTCGAAGTTGAATAATTGTTAGTACTGAAATTTATTATTCTCTGCTGTTGAGCGTTTGTTGCAAATTTTATTATTATTATTATTATTATAGGGTATGTACATAAAAAATGGGAATTTTTATTGTCAGTACTAACTATCCATTTTTAAACCAACTAGTTTGGTTCCTGCTATGACATTGAGATAAATTAGGGTTTTTTTCTTGTATTTGCGCAGAAAGTTCGAGCCAGAGTATGAGACCCTCTTCGTAATACCTTTTGCGTACAAATAGACCGCGAAGGAATTTTGTTTATAGGGTATAAATGTCTATTAATTAATTGATTTCCTCGATGAGATTTAAAAAAAAAGTGAACAATTTCTCAGTTGGATTTCTAGAAGATTTTTACAAAATTTCAGTTAATGCATTATTTGCTTATGTTGTTATGCACAGATTTATCATATACCAAGCCGTGGGCTTTAGAGATTTTAGCTGATAATAAGTTTTTTATGAAAGGAAACAAAAATCAGGATTACGGACGGTTTGCGACCATTTCTTGAACATTTGCTCTAATATTGGAAAATGTATAAAAACATGCAATGTATAACAATGATAAATGCGCAAAAAATAATCTATTAGACTTACCATGTATCCGTCTTCATCTTCAACGACAGGAATCAACTGATCCACTATGTGCATAATTTCATCGGTGTCAAATTCTGATTCTTTCGATAAATCATTCGAACTAGCGGAAAACATGGTTGAATTTTCTTCAAAACCTTTGAGGAAATCGGCTGTAACCTAAACGAGAAAAATCTAAAATGGGATATTAGCTGGAGCTAATGAGACTTTCAAGGTGTGCATCCAAGTAGCAATCAGAAGTTATAGATATGTTAAAGTACCTGCCTCTACTAAGAATTATTGCAAGCTTTTGTTGATTCTGAAGCAAATTCTGATTCATTTTACTATTACTCCATTTTACTATTTTATTGATTGATGGGATGCTTAAACGATATCTGCTTGGGATCTTACTAATAGAACAATTATTGGGCAGCTCAGTACGAAGGCAAAAGTACAGATTAAAGTAGCAATGTGATAACAGTGCAACTTAAGCCATCACCTTTGATAAGTTTTGCAGACTCATCACGAGCTCTGATAGCTGTAGATTGTCTAGTAGGATGGCATGTTTTAATTATTATAATGATTTGTTGTTGACTCTTAGCTCGATATCAAGCAGCCTAATTAGTCGAAGAGAAATGCAGTAATTTTTTTAAATGATACAATATCTGCAAATTGAGTCCTCTTTTAACGAAAGTGAATTGATAGCAATGCTATGAAATAACCAGTTGTTATGAAAGGAAATCTTCAGAAATATTGCTTAAAATGGCCTGTTAAAGTTAAATTATATATCTTACACCCAAAGCTAATAGGAAAATAATGCGAGCTACTTTTGGACCTTAATATTGGTCTACGATGCTGTAAAATTCTGTTAACTTGCTCGAGAAAAATTATGCGACTCATAAATAGAAAAAAAAGCTTTTAAAAATACCACATTTAAGAACGCCATAGCCAGAAGTTATTATAACCGCTAAATAATTTCGGGCTTTTGATTTTCATTAATGAACATGCTGATATCTGCATATTAATTGAAACGAATAACTCAATTATTATGATCGTTTCAAATCACATTTAGCTGATTGGCTTTCTTCCATAAAAATTTAAATTGCGGCTATAAATAAAGTAAAAAATCTGCTAAAGACCAGCAGTTTTCGAGATAACCCCGTTGCTACTTTAAACTTAAATAGTTCATTAAAGTTTATCTGGTAATTTAAATTGATCTAAATACTAAATTTAGGCAATCGCTATCATAATTCGATATAAAACGTACATAGAACTTTCAAAGTTATTCGTCCTGGGCCACACACGTTGACTACTCATTTACAAAAAGACCTCCAAATTTTTATAAAAACTTGTGGCATTTGAACCGACTTTTTGCTCTTTGATTTTACTTATTATGTATGTCTGTCATTAGCTTTTATGTCTGTTTAAAAAATTAACCACTTTCATCAGCGATTAAGCAATCGCATCTTTAAAAACATAGGAAATCTGGAAATGTGAACAGAAACCTCACATGGTTAAATATCTAAAATACTTTTCTGTAATATAGTTCGTATAAAATTTGATAAAAATAAAAACACAATTTCCTGTATTTTTCATCAATGAACTTTAGGATTTAGTGACAAGGCGTGAATTCTCATATGGTTACAGGGTTTTGTGGCGTACAGGTTTTTGGGCCAATATGTATTTCAAGCATTCAAATTTTCCAACCTCTCAAGTAAAATGTCTTTAAAGTATTCTATAAAATACTGTTCCTGAAAGCCATCATCTCAAATAATTATCTGTTTAACTGATACAAAAACACTTTGTCACAATCACTGGAAATTATCCAATGATCTTTACTACTGTCCATGTGTCCAACTGTCCTTAAAAAGAGGCGCATCTATAGGGCATAATAATCATGCATTTTAGATGCAAGATAATAACTTCAATTGCACAATCTATCTATTGAGGCAATGAAGAAGTTAAATTGCCTACGCGAGAAGAAATCACGGGGGTGTTGGATGGAATTGATTTACAGCGTTACTTAATGGATTTAAAATTATAGCAAATTTTGGAGAAAAAGAGTTGGAAATCGACGTGGATTATAAGTTCCTTTGCCTTGATAAAAAGCTTCGATTAATTAGGGCAATTCTAAATTGAGAGATGTTTCTTGAAGGAAAATGTACTTTTTCAAATAGGCAATTTTACAAGAGCTAATTTTTTTGGTAAAAATGATCACCTGCAATCAGATTCAGATTTACAGAAGCTGTAAAGTTGCGCCAATCACTGGACGTCATGATCTTATAGCTTCAAAATCTCAGTAATTAGGGTAAAATTTTAAGCAAAATAGACACTGAACATGTCTTTGTTAGTAATGTAAAAATTCTTATTCCAAAAATTATTTTTCCGCTACGCCAAGAAAAATCCCTTTCATGTTATAATTATCTGACAAAGAAAAAACTTTTCATGTATTTTTATGTAATGAAAGGTTTAAAAATCAATTGAAAACCAAAGTTATTTGCAGTTGCAACAACTTGTATCATATATAGAACCCAACCAACTCTGAATATAATTTTGCTGATATTTTTGTCGAAATTGACTGTATGCATATGCGATAATGCTCCTATTTTATATTATTTTATTTATCAATCTGTAATAAAAGACGTGAGGAAATTCTGTCCTTTTTAAAGACAAAAATTTTTGAGGCGAAATACCCAACAAGAAGTTTGTAAAAAAATGAATCCGCCTCAACAATATAGAACTTATCTATAATTTCAATTTTGACTCAACACTTTCGGATGTGTTTGTTTTTATTTCTTGTCTCATTTCCCAAAAATTGCAATTGGTTCACATACAGTCAATACTCGACAAATTTGCAAAACTGGTTAAACAGCGATAAAATGCATTATTTACCTACATGAACATGACACTTTCAGTTTTATGATCAAAAGTGATAATCATGAATACATTGAGCAGTCAGTGTATTTATCGATGTTAGGACAGGTAATTTGAAAAGCTACTGCATAACCGACTTATCAGATACGATAAGGTATGGATTATTTTTGTGTTTTTACAACTTGTCAACGCAAATATAATAAATATCTCGAGACATACAGATTTGTCTCCTTTATTATTGAATTAAGTTTTATTTTATATTCTCGAACTCTAACAAATTATCCCTCATTCATCTTAGGCAAAATAAAAGAACAGATCAATAACAATCAACAAGTTTAAGACCATTTTCAAATAAAATTGAGTAAGGGCAAGAAAGGGTAACAAGCATATGCTTACAATTTTGACAATAACTATTGCAGAGAGTAAACAATTAGAGAGTTAGAGAGCGACAGAAATTCTTTATATCCAACTCAACAACATTCGTACCAACAACAATACGTACCTTGTGCTTGTAATAGGTTTCATACAAGTCGTCCATCCATTGAAAAATAAATGTAGAAACATTCTCAGATAGATCTTTACGAGTAGCAAAGTGCTTGACGATGTCCAAGCAGCCGATACCGCTAAGGCTACTTAATGCCCAAAAGACGCGTTTTGCTACTTCTTCGTTCGTCATTCTAATGATTCTTTTGGCAAAAATGATCGGAGGAAATGACTGGTCAACCCATCCTGTGAAATCAGAACAAATGAGTGTTAAACTTCAGGTTAAGACTCATCCACGTTGATTGAATGGTACCAATTCTGGTCTGAAGGATATAATTCTCTAAACAGTTAATTTAATCTGAATCTATAGGAAAAGATAATATACACAAAGTGAAAAAACTGTTGTGATAAAAGAGTTAAATTGGGTACGCACCAACCGAAGCCATATAATTCACAGAGACGCTTTTCCAAAACCTCAAAACCTCCTCTTGAACCAGATGGTGTTTGCCAGTAAAGGCTAGTTCTTCCATGCATTTATACATTTTGGGCAAATAGCCGTAATCGCTTGTATATCTGTTACGCCAATAAATCACCGTGATTAGCTTGATCGCCTCTTTTGAAGCCAGAGGGTCGGTTTCTTTTAATACTGTATCCAGTACTTTGCCCTGCGGCGTGTGGATTTTATAATCAAAAACTTTGCGAACTGATTATTTAAAATACCACTTACAGTCAGCTCCTCTGGTTTCAGCTTGCTCTCAATTCCGTTTACCAGGAACATTTCCTGAAGGCTCCGAAAAGCTGCAGCCCTTACCAACGGATTTCGATCCTCCAGGCACAAAGTTGTGACTACTTCGGGTAAAGACGCTTGGCTTAAAATGTCTCCAAATGAGGCAAAACCTGCAAGTTGCAACTTTAGCACCCAGTGAAGTAGGAAAAAATACTCACTTTCGTGTGCTGTCTTTGATATGGATGTTACAACTCCCAGGGCAACTTGCCGCACTTCCCAGTCAATGCTGAAGAGTTTTACGAAAAGCATGTGTCCGATATCTTTCATTGTGGAATCCTGAACTGAGTCAATGAGTAGTAACATTTCTGGGGAAATGTGCTCGTTGATCAGTAACTTTAAAAAGCGCAGCCCTTTAACAACTACCTGAAAAACAACGAGACTGTTTGCTGGTAAAGCTTTGGATGGTTGTTTTTACCGGTGAGGGCCAGCTAATGTAATACAAAAAATTGTGTATCACTTTGGGCAAATCCAAATACTTCAGGTGCTTATCAATGCACATATTGGGAGTTTCCAGAAAGTCCACAATGATTTCAAACAGTTTTTCAACAAGCATCTGCTCTTCATATCTGATGATCCTTTTCACAGCCACTTCTTTGAAATATTCAAACGCATCCTCCAGCATGCAGCACAGTATGAGTATGATTCGGTTCTTGTTCTTGGCCGAATAGAGCGGTTTGGTTTGCAGCACCAAGTCGAAGCTCTGAATGTAGACATCGAGCGAATCGTATCTGACTTGGTTTCTGATTTTGTACCCTGAAAGTTCCAAAATAGGAAAAACATTTTTGTTTTGTTTAACCCCAGGAAATTATAATCTATCGAACGATAATAAGTAGTTTTTCTGTTACTGTAAATAAGGTGTAGGAGAGGGTCCACTGACAGCCTCCCTTTCAAAATTAATTGACACAATTAAAATTGGACTGCTGGATGATCAATGCTCAGAAGTTGGTAATCGGTGGAGGTGGAGTTAAAATCTGGTTGGCAGATCGCCAGGTTCATGTCGTTTTAATCTTCTTACTCCTAGGGTTTTTCTATGGAAAAGATGTTGAGCAAGTTTGTTTGGATGAACACTTAGTCGTTGGTGGTATTTGACACTGTAGCTTCGTATTTCTTCTTTTACAGTTGGTACTCGAAGGTCGCGGCGGATGATTTCATTTGGAATGATCCACGGGGCATCAACGATCATTCGTAGAACTTTGGACTGAAATCGTTCGAGGATCTCAACGTTGGATTTAGAGGAGGAACCCCAAAGCTGTACTCCGTAAGTCCATACCGTCTTTACGATGGACTCGTAAACTATCAGTTTGCTCTCCGTTGTAAGTTGGGATCCTCTTCCGACCAGCCAATCCATTTTGCTGAGCTTAATGCCCAGTTGCTTTCTATTCGAAAATACATGTTTATGCCACGTCAGCCACCGATCAAGATGGATACCCAAGTATTTCGCGTCTTCTGCTTGATGTAGTTGTTAGTTGTTCGCCGTTTAGTTGAACAGGAGGACGGGTATCTTTGCGGAGTGTAAAAGTTACTTGCGTTGATTTGCCTTCGTTAATCTTAATGCGCAACCTCTTCGCCCACTTTTCGATTTTGGTCAGCTTATCTTGCAGAATGCTCGATGCAATTATATGGTTGTTATGTACCGCCAGTACAGCTGTGTCGTCTGCCAAGGTAGCTGACATCGTGGTGGTGTTGGTAGGTAGGTCTGCAGTAAAATATGTAAATAGAGTGGGACTTATCACGCTTCCTTACGGGACTCCTGATCTTATTTGAAAAAGTGGTGTGTACTCCTCCTTGAACTTAACCATGAAATGACGATTTTGTAGGTAGGATCTAAGTGAGATATACATGTTGTCTGGGAAGACTTTCTTGATTTTGTAAAGCAGTCCGAAATGCCATACTTTATCAAAGGCTTGTGCAACATCCAAGAAGGCGGCTGCACAGTACTTTTTCTCTTCCAATGTTTGACTTATCCTTGTTGTGATCCTATGTACCTGTTCTATTGTGGAGTGCTGTTGTCTAAACCCAAACTGATGATCTGGGATGTGATGTGTCTTCTCAAGTATTGGTTTAATTCTTACAAATAGAAACTTTTCGAATACTTTAGATAATAAAGCTAACATACTAATAGGTCGGTACGACTTCACTTCCTCGACAGGCTTTCCCGGCCTTGGGACCAATACGATTTGTGCAACCTTCCATTGAACAGGGAAGTGCCCGAGCCTTAGAACTGCATTGAAGACTTGTGTGATGTACTGAAATCCACTACAAGGTAGTTCTTTCAGTATTCTTCCTGTTATGAGGTCATACCCAGCGGCTTTTTTGGGACTTGCACGTTTCGCCGTGATCCCCCTTACTTCGGATGCCGTGAAATTTTTTTGCGGTATTTCCAGTTGTCCAGGAGTGGACCACCTCTAGATGTTCCGCAAATAACGCTGCTTTTTCACTATCGGTTCTAGCCCATGTGCCATCTCTCTTTCTCAATGGTGGATAGATTTGTTGGGGCTATTTTAATTTCTTTGTCGCTTTCCATAGAGAATAGTCTAAGAGCTCGGTTGGAGAAAGGCTTCCAAGATATTTTTGCACTGACTTGTTAGTATTATCACTAAGGAGCGTCTTTCATTTGTTTACGGCTTTATTGAATTTCGATTTATCATGAGGAGATTTTGTTCCGCTGACTATTTCGTGCGAAACTCCTCACTGTAAAAGATATGGCAAAATACTTACTGAATATATAAGCTTGCTGGTTGCATTCTCGCAAAGCCTCCATTCCGAAACTATACAAAACGCAAGATTTAATATCCGACAGTTTATGGTAAGTACAACGGCTCGTCGATAAAAAGTCGAAAGCCACCATTGCTGGTATCAACTGGAAGCACATCAGTTCACATTCCATATTACCTTGCTGATCCTTTACCATATAGCTGGGTAAGTGGATGGCATCAATTTGCGAGTATTTAATGGCATAGTAGCAGACTTTAGACAGAACAAACATGTTGCCTAAAAGGTATTACTAATGTTAATTGAATCAAGTTTTAGGAGTCTGTTTTGAACCAACGCCTTTCCGTTTGGTGTGCAAAGATCCTGTAAATTCCGCTAATGGACATGATGCTTTGGTTGATAACTTTGATACCATCAAAAAGCACGGTGATTTCGTAAAAAGAGAGCAACACTGCAATTCTGTACATGATAATGGTGAAATCGTCTTTGTCAGACATGGAAGACATCTTGTCACTAGCCTCTCGAATTCTTAGCTCCAAAACAACATTTAATACTTGAGTGCATCGATTTTCAACGAGAGTTTCCAGCAGATTCACTAAGCAAAGAGCCGTAGGCAAAATGTCGTTAAATATGTGCCGATTGAACGCGACCAGCGAAGTATATTTGGGTTCTTTATATTGCTGAAGCGTCATCAGAATTGGTGTAGTGAGAAATTGCAGGAAGTCTGTACAAAACTTCTGGTTCCCTTCTACTGTTTTATCCAAGAGTGTTGCCAGAAAACGAGTACTAAAAGCAAACTGTTATTTTTCCAGTAATATCACTGTGCTAACTTCTACTCACCCAGCTTTAACCACCTCTTCATTTTCCGCATGTTGATGTTGCAAAATAATCGAATAAACATCCAGCCAGTAATTTTTATCTGACATCCAGGCAACCCCACTAGGATGAACCAGAACTGAATTTAACATGGCCAGGAAAAGCAGTTTCACTTCTTCAGCGGTCTCCAGCAGGGTTGGATTTGATATAAGGATGAGTTCTTGCAGCACAGTATCTGACTTCAAATTGTTAAAACTGCTCTCGTTTTTCACTACCAAATTAGCCAGATCCAAGAGGAATATTATCTGTTTCTGTTTAGGGCAGTCGAGTTTTTTACGTTTCAGCGCTTGAACCGATTCGGTTAAATATTTTTCGTATTTCTCAATGTGAGTCAATGATGGGTTGTTTCCAGTAGAGGAGTCTGAAGGCAAAAGAAACAAATACAGAAGATCCATCTAAAATTGTGTCATCATTATGTTCAAAATCAATTAGAAGTTATATTTTGTTGGAAATGACTCAAATTAATAAAACATAAATATTTATTTTGGTTTTTAATTCTTCGAAACCGTGACACAAGGCGATTTTTAATTAATTTTAGCAAATCTAAAAATGAATAAAATGGCAAGAAATTAAAAAATTCCCACTGCAATATAATTCAATCTTTATGAGCTCAAAATTGTGTGTATGGCAATACATATACACTGAAACTAATTTTCCTGGAAAGCGCTATATTCCATCGACATAAAATAAGAAGAACGATTCAATAAATTGTTGCGTATAGTTAAGAAATTGCATTGACTAAAGTTTATAGCAATATTCGTGTAAAAGGGTTTGACAAAGATTTTCATTCTCTCCTAAGAAAGAATAGCGTAATTAAGACAGAGTCTCTTGAAAATATAGCAAAAAGGGCAACTTTAGAGATCATCTTCAACGGGCTTCTCTGCAAAGTAATTTTTAGTGTTTTACAAGAATTTTTAAACTATTTTAGCCTCTAAATTTACCTTCCGAAATATTTAAAAGTTATTTCTGGATAAATCTATAAGTGGGGGCGTCAGAACATTTCATTCGCTGCAATTTCGTATCGCCATTAAGTGAATTATAATGGCGACAATTTATAAATATGCCATCAAGAGTTTAAGTAGTTTAAGACTCAGCAACATCAAACAATAGAAAATGATACAATATTTAATCATTAGTTTCAATGTTCATCAACGATTAAAATTTATATAAAGCAGTTACTTTGTTAATTTTTTGATGCGAAAAATTGCACAACATTTCATCTATTTTAATCCGCAACTATCATCCTAATGCTAATACAGGTCTTGCGTTGATTCATCGATCAAAGTAAGCATACTACAATTTGGTGCATTTTTTTACACTCAAACCCATTTATTAGCTAATTATCCTTAAATCCAATAGAACTTCAAAATGTATCAAGGCATGCCACTAGTAACAGTTTTATGTACATAAATCATCATACCTAAGAATAAATGAAATAGATCCAAAATAATTTGTCCAAGCATTCATTCTCCGATTATTTTCACTAATTTGCAAATACACATTGACAAATCTTTAAATTGTCTTCTAACACTTCTAACTTCTACTTTAATTGTTCCTCAAAATCAACTTCCGTTCTATTTCTTAAATTCGTTTTTATTCAAAAACAATATACGCCTGCAAGTTTATTTAACAATTTTTTCGTACTCTCCGGTTGCCAAAAAATAAATTTTACTTTATTTCCTTTGTTTTAATATACCTACTTAATGGCAACATTTTTCTGCTATTTGCAACGCAATATACATTGCCAGGTCTATTTCTGATTAATTGGTTAATTAAGCAATTGAGTCACGGCTAAACTAAGTACCTGATGGATGCTTATGTTCCATCTGAATTTTGAAGGTATTTCTTGTCTTCTGGGGTTGCAAACCACCACAACTGCTAGTTGGGCTTGAATAACTTGCTACTTCCATGGCTAGATGTGCACTTCATGTGATTTGCTTTGTTGATGACACACGGAAATTAATTGAAATACTTTCCCAGCAGTTCAAGGATTTGTTTGTAGGCAAACTATTATTTTTGGGGCAATTACGTGGAATCCAATACTGTAGCAGCAGATGTAATGGAAATGTTTTTAATTTACTGGTTCAAAATGAACCATATCTCAAAAGTCAATATTGTTATTTTAGATAACAACATTTTGGTACTGATAGCGCGGTTCTGGCGCACGATTAGCACCATCTTATCATCTAATTATTATTTTTGTTTCAGACATTACTTAATGTTTATTTGTTGTTGTGCTTAACTTTAAACGCATATTATTCAATCTCAAGGTAGGTATAAAAATGCCGACAAACTAATTATTATTATTATGAAATATAGCATTCAAATATGTAATGCTGGGTGAGACATGCTGAATTCATATGTTGCGAGTAATTACAAATATTTCAATTTCAATTTTCATGTTCCTTTTTTCGTTAAAGCACGGTTTCAACCGGCGCTTCATTTATAAAAGCCTTTTATTTGAATGTGGATTGTCTATTACTTCATTAAAAGTGCGGTGAACAACTTTTCAACACTTGTATGTTAATTAAATTAAAAGTTTTCGTTTGTTTCTCTTAAGATATTCGTCGTTGCAACGTTTGTCAATGAATTGCAGTTTAAGTTTAAAGTAGAGTTCATGAAGTAATAGAGGAGAGGATCAATCGCGAACTAAACCGTACTTTGTGCGCTTGCGCTAGGAAATCCTGTCAACAGGTCTGAAAGTTGACATGTGCTGTAAAATTGAAGGTCGAAATCCAGTTGTTGTGAGTAAATGGTGAGTAAATGTAAACACAACAACTATGATGTCTACGCAATTTAACTGATTTAAAATCACTATAGCACAGACTACTCACTATTATAGACTATAGTCATGGTGACGATGTAGAACAATTGCATTTATCAGACGTCGAACAAAGAATGATTGCTGCGAAACTCACCCTGGAAGTTCCAACAAAAAGGTGAAGTATAAAATAAGGTGAAATATTTAATAAGTTTTATTTTTATGGTACACCTACGCATTGGTATTTATTTGCCAAAATGTGCTTCCAAATTTTGATATAAACTATATTTAATTTTATCTAAATTATTTACAAGCTACAATAAGATCTTATTCTAGCATAATTAAAAGTGTTTGTGATAAAATGGCACTGGATATGAAAAGAATCGATTTAATCAACAAAGATGACATCAGAAATATACAAGATTTCCATGGAATTCATGCAAAAGACGACTGTACACATCAGGATGATTCAGCAAGTGTCCATTTGTGGGTATTAGAGTGTCAGGAAACTAATKAATTAAATATAGTTTTWTATGCCCCAAKGTGTAAAAGCACAAGAAAATCCATCAWTGCAAGACAAATATTGTTGTTTAATCATCAGGAGTACTGTACATAAAGAAATGCTTTTAAACTTTGRGTGCCATATAATTGGGTGATTTTGAGCTTAGTACTATTTTGGTAACGGTTTTCCTGTAGCATTTATGTTTTCTAACAAGAAATACCCTTTAACTTATTAGACCATTAAGAAACATGTTGATATAATTAAACCTAACGTTTTTATGTCAGATATTACCAATACGTTCTACAATGGAGGGGGCAAAACAATTGGAAGGGTTCCAAATCATTTACTATGTTCATGTTAATAGAGGGTGGCAATCAAATCTTTAAAAAAAATTCTAACACTGAGAACAGGGCTTGGACTTATAAAATGTTAAAATAACTTCAGAATGTGCTAATTTTTTGCAATGCCTTAACAATTTCTGAGAAATAATGTTTAGTGACGATGACACACGCCTTTGAAACTTATTTTTCCTAAAACTATGCTGGACATTTTCAATAATGTCCTTATTGATTCAGAAAAGGATGCAGAATAAATACCAGCATGGCTCTTGAAAGCTTTCATAGAATATGAACATATTTTTATGGTAAAAATGGTAAAGAAAAAGTCTTGCTGTACTATCAAATGTATTTTTTGTAACATTTGCTTACATTCATTTACCTGTAGTTGTGTTATTTAATGAGGAATACAGTTTATAAACATGTCCATTTTGTTGGCCTGCGGGATATATCACAATGCCCGGGTTTCTTAAAGTTAAATAATTAATGTTTTAGGTCGGAAAATATGCGGCAAATGCTCAGTTATAATTCGAATCAAAATGATTAAACGTTCATTAAAAGGATAAAATTGAATCTAGTTTTGTTCTGGTTTGTTCAAGTAATCAACTTGTCATTTCTTATAGTTCAGCCAACAATCATCAGTAATTTAAAATTAGATATTATTTATCATTGAATATGTAATGCATGCAGATATTTTGAAATATGTATTTCGGTTAGTTAAGGTGAAAGGTACTTAAGTTTGTTATATGGAGCAATATTAAATAACTACAGACATATGGTATTCGTTTTATATCTTAATGTTATATAGGCAAGTGCGAGGTGAGGTAGATATAAGAGCAGAAAAATAATAAATTTATTTGCAACATTCTCGTTTTTATTGTTTATCCCGCCATTCCATTTTACACTTTGCCGGTTAACAGGGTCTAGTTCAGAATGTTAATTCTCTCAGAGTCTGAGGTGTATCTGATTTAGGTTTTACATACTTGCTCTCTGAATTAAGTTCTCACTAACTCTTTACAATGGTGGTAGAAGTTAATATCTACGTTATATTCATATTGCTATCTGTATCACTTTTAAAGACTACAATATAAATAGCATTTTATAATTGATAGGAGATAAATTACGTTATCACTAAAAATAAATACATATTTACCTAACTCCAATAAGACAAATACGCCATGCTTTACTATTACATTTTAAGAAAATATATACAATTCGTTCTAATGATATATAAAAGTATTATCACAATAGAAATTATTATTTGAAATAATATACAGCAACATTGCAAGTATACTATACTATAGTTTCAGTGGCAACAGGGCATTAGAAGTATCCTTACGCCTAACTTCACGCCCCCGCATAAATAACGGCTCAGTTCCTGTTTGATCCTCTCCTAAGTAATAGTGAGTTAACATTTAAGCCTTGAAAAGACGTACTTATGTTCTGAGGTGTCAAACCAGGCGCCAGATATTCAATATAATCAATTTTCAATAAAAACATTTTACAAAACTTAACTTAAGTTTAACTAGTAACTTAACTCTACTTTAAACTTAAACTGCAAAACTACAAATAAATAGCAATTCATTTAAACTAAGCCATTTGAGTTTAATCGCTTTCATATTAAAATCCGTTTTTCTTATTATACAGGGTGTTCCGTAAATATGTAAAAATATTTTAATAGCGTGTTCTACTAGTCATTTTAGAGTGGGGTTTTCCTGATAATTTTTCCAATTTGAGGTTTTATGGTTGAGACATTTGACTTCCAAAATGGGGGAAGATATTAGTTTTTGTTGTGTTTCTTTAAAACGGTTAAACATATAAACTTCAATTTTGGTATAAATTATAATCTAATTGAGTGCTATTCTATGGTACTGTTTTGTGGTTCAATTTATTTTTATACAGGGTAGAAATGTGGAACCCCTACTTTTATTTTGTTTAGAACTTTTTTGTGTGCATTTAGACTTTTATCCGCATATTTTTTGAAATATTACAAATTATTTGCCTACTTTTTTATCTCTTATTTTTTTTCCTAAGACCACTAGTTTGCCCGCCAAAAAATAAAATCGTTTTATTTGCGTTCTCAAAATGTGTAAGTGATTAAGTTAGTTTTTAAAATCTAATAACGTTTTCATATGACAATTTTGCTACGCATTATCAGTTAATTACTAACAACCTAAATGATGTTTCGAAAATGTGTATTTCGGTTCAAATTACAATTATTAAGTTTTAATAAATTTTACTTAAATAATACCATGGTAACAATATGCGCAACGATATAAACTATCAAAATGAAATTTAAACAACTATTATAATCTTAACTTAGCAGCTGTTCAAATTCGTCACCTTGACACTCTTGGCATAATCGCAGTCTCTTAATGAAATTAAAATTCACAGACCGTAAAGGTTGCACGGAGGTTCTTATTTTGTTAGAAATACTAAATATTCTTTCCTGAAGTTCCTCGATTGTATTCACTTCTGTTGCATACACCGTATTTTTTAAATGGCCCCAGAAGTAAAAATCAAGCGCGTTTAGATCAGGAGATCTAGGAGGCCACTTTATAGTAGCTTCCAGGCCCCTCCCAATCCAACGGCCTGGAAAGTTTTGATCAAGCCAATGTCGAACCTGCAAAGAAAAATGAGCAGGGGCACCATCGTGCATATACCACATTTGTTGTCGTAGTTGGAGTGGCAAATCTTTCAATAACTCAAAAAGATTGTTTTGTAAAAAATTCAAGTACTCAGCCTCTCCTAAACGTCTAGGTAAGATCTGCGGTCCTATTAAAAAATCTCCTATTATTCCCGCCCAGACGTTGAGAGAAAATGAATGTTGGTATTTTGTTGTGATGAAAGATTTCGGATTTTCGGCAAACCATTCATGCATATTGTGGTAATTAAAAACACCTCCTCTTGTAAATAAAGCTTAATCGGTGAACAGTATTTGCTGGGTGAATTGAGAGTTTCTACTACGATTCTCTAGAATTTCTGCGCAAAATTTTACTCGCAGTTCATGATCTGTTGGAAACAATTCTTGTTCTCTTTTAAAGTGGAAAGGATGCAAGCCGGTTTTTGATAAAATGCGCCAAATACTAGTAACAGACATATTAAAATGCCTTGATGCTTCTCGGATAGACGCTCTTGAATTGTTACCAAATAAGCCTTGTTCTATGATTATTACCAAAATAATCCAAAACGGCGCGTTCTTGTCGAGCACTAATTGCATGACCCCTACCTTCATTTCGCTGACGGGTAAATGTTCCAGTGGATCGTAATCTTAAATGAATTTGGGTAAAAGTTGGATGGCTAGGAACTCGACGATTAGGAAATATTTCTGCGTAAAGCCTTGCGGCTTGAAGAGCATTGCCCTGACATTCTCCGTATGTCAAATGCATATCTGTATATTCTTCATTATTATAACATCAAAACTAATGCAACAAAGAAACCTACCAACTAAACTAACTTAACTTGAAAACTGTCAGCAGCTGCTGTAAAATTTTTGACAATGAAAACTAAACGATATTTAACTGTCATAGACAGCCTACTTTGTTTATTGCACTTTTTGTATTCAAACGTTATTAAATAAAAATCCCTTAGTTACGTACTTACACGCTTTGAGAACGGCAAATAAAACAATTTTATTTTTTTGTAGGAAAACTAGTGGTCGTAGGAAAAAACAATAACAGGTAAATAATTTGTAGTAATTAAAAAAATTATGCTGATAAAAGTTTAAGTGCACACAAAAAAGTTCTGAACAAAACAAATGTAGGAGTTCCACATTTCTACTCTGTATAAAAGTAAACAAAACCACAAAACACTACCATAGAATGGCATTCAATTAGATTATCATATATACCAAAATTGAAGTTTACACGTTTAACCGTTTTAAAGAAACACAACAAAAACTAGTATTTTTCGCCATTTTGAAAATCAAATATCTCAACAATGAAACCTCAAATTAAAAAAATTCTCAGGAAAACCCCCGTCTAAAATGACTAGAAGAACACGCTGTTAAAATATTTTAACATATTTACGGAACACGCTGCAGATGGTGATTCACAACCTAATGGACACAGAGCAGAGGCGTGTAGAGGACCTCAAAACAAATCGAGTTTCCATTAAAGTTTTTTTTCTCAGGCCCATGGTTCACAAAATACAGGGTGTTTCAAAAAAATGTTGGTATTTTCTCTTTAACTCCTACAGTTTATTTGATATTTTGCTCAAATTTTAAAATAGGCAAAAAGTAGGCTAATGTTTAGACCTTTTACCCGTAGGTAAGGCGACTGGTTGTGCAAATATACAGGGTGTTCTTTTTTCTAGAGGCATAACCCCTTTTTTTTTAAGTTTTCACAAGTGTATATTTTTGTTTTTGAAATTTCATCTTGTTAAATTGTTTCCAAATGGTTTGCATAAAAATATAATTTTTCAATAATGCGCATGCTATCAAATTGAACAACAGCTCATAATTGTTAAGTGCGGATGGTTTATTTAATTTTTGAGTACTTTTGTTTCGCAACACTAATAAACTATTGCGACATTACAATCGTGACTAAATTGTCCGATAAAAGGGGAATTGGATGATTTATAGAAATTCAATTGCAGGAATTCGCTTTGCAACATAACAACTTAATACTCATTTTAAATAATTGTTGTTTGCAATAACAATTTGTAGTACATTGTTATGGATTATGTAACTTTTGGAGGGTTTCTGAATTTGTTTATTTTATTATAGACTACTTATTCCCCTTTGTATAGTTCTTTTTTTTATATACAATACGCCATTTCTTTTGGTTCTGGAAAACCTAAAAATAGGCAGACTTTTAACGTTTTATAACTAAGAAAATTGGAGATTAAAATATAGCTAAGGCATCCTAGGCATTTTATTCAAAATTTAAGTGCTTCACTTCGTGTCTAAAAAATAATTCAGTGCTTTTTGTTTTCCGAAAATATTAATCATAAAGTGTGTAGAAGAAAACGAAAGGCACAATTTCGTTTATTTCGGGAGCATCTAGGCAAAACGGAGATTTTTAAATCCAGGATATTCTAAAAAAAAAATAGCTAGAATGTCCTCAATTTAAAAATCTCCGTTTTGCCCACATGCGCCCGAATTAGCTGAAAATAATTAATACGAAACAAAACAAGAACAATTATGGAAATATGGCAACTATATCGAGTATTTTTCACGAAATAAATCTAATTTTAAATTAGTATATTGAGTTACGAGCTTTATTTTTTATGCTCTCACTTCGTTCACGGGAACTAAATATGGCTCTTTAAATGTTTAAAAAATATATTTTATGAGATTGATTTCATCAAATTTCTAGTTTTTTGGAGGTTCAAATAGGTTGTCGTTGATTTGTACCACAGTTTTATTTTTCATATTTCATTTTTGGGTTCTATATAAATAGTAAAGGCTAATAGGAGAAACATTTCATATGAAAAAATTACATCTTATCAGATGTAATAGTTTTTGTTTGTATACAGTTTTAAGTATGATTGGCAGAGAGGAAAAGCAATTAAATGCGGAGTTTTCTTTACTTTACTAAAAGGCAAAATTTACATATTTTGAGAAACTTCGTCACCAACTCGAAAAAATAATATTTGATGGTTGCAGTTTGCGTTTCAGTCTCTGCAGAACTTTCTATGATGAAGAACTTCTTCGTCTTTATAATTATTAACAATCAAGGTTTTATATCACTTTAATAGACTTCCCGCATACATTGCAAATCCGAAAATATTAAACTTAAACGCTTTTATCAGGGAGATAATCTGATTTTGAACACTTTCTGAATACACCTCACCTCAAATACTTAAGCGTTTATTAGGCAAACAACAGGTGTGTTTGATTTATCGAACATAAAATGAATTAGGAAGACTTCCTCTTCAAGAGCAAAACTTATCAGCTCAAACGTGTAAATGTGGAGGAAAATTAGTCGAAAATAACTAGCAACAACCGCCAAAATATAAAAATTTATTCAACAATATAAACAATCTCGATTTCACTTGTACAGCGTAAATCTAATTTCAAAGTGCTGATTACCAAAAACCATGGTAATGCAATTGTCAAGTGCATCGCTTATAAATACATATGTACTATATAGAGCTTATAACCTTATACCAAAGAAAATCCCGGATTATTTCACCTTTATGTACCAACAAAAGCCCCAATAAATGTTTGTCAACTGATACATTTACTTAAATCCCTATGATTCCTAGGAAGACCACATATAGAAATAGTTGCTTTGCCAGAACGGCAAATATTGCATCAAAGGGGTGCATATTAATTTTGCAAGCGGTAGATTGTTGCTTAGAGCTATTAAGAAAGCGTCCAGCTTGTCTCCACTGTGTTTTTCATAAAATGGGGACCTGAGAAGGTACAGCAAAAGCAGCATGGTTCTCTTGGACAGCTGCAGCTGCTGCTTTTTCGATAAAGACGTCTTGGTCTGTTGTGTAGATTTATACAGCTGCAAGCTATAATTTCAGTAAAGTTTTAGTAAACCCGATGCGTTTAGAGCAAAGCAAACTTACCTAGTTAAATCAATTGCCAGTGATATGACCCAAGGCTTCCAAGTGGTTTTTCCAAAAACTCCCATAGAAGCCAAGTGGATAAGAGGCTTGGTCACATATAAAGTCTCCGCAATCAGTTGGCGTTTACTGATACTAGCTCCATTCTGTTGCTCGGTAAAATCCGTTGGAAGCTTTTGCGCTTGAAGTTCCACAGGTTTCCAATTCCTGAGGCCTAATTTTAAATCTCAGTTTCGACCCAGGTAAATGTGTAACATCTATTACCAATGGGCGGTGAAGACTCAACCTTACGAACCACACGTCCAGACCTTTTCAAAGTGAACGAAACCGAGTCAAATTCACTCTGTCCGATTCCCAGCAAATGTTTAGAGCCTCCCTTTTGGCACTTTGCAATGTTTCCTCGATCCAGTGGCGCTATAGTTGGGTTTTCAACTATCGTTTCATTGTGCTTGTAAATCAGCAGCAATCTTGCAATACACCTAAAGTTGTGCTTTGTTAAGAACTGGCATAAATCTGGGCAAAATATGATTGTCTATTACTTAAACACTTGTATTGCCACAATGAGGATCCATTTGCCGGTATTTCCCCACAGTTTTTGCACGGATAACTCGCAAAACACTTCAGAGTATTCGACAATAGCCAGCCACACTTTGATCTTTTCCACTGTGGCCGTTGATTTAAGCTGCATAGATTGCTTGATAACGCCATCATTAAATAACACCAGCAAATTGGACAGGCAATAAACCAGCTCAGATACTAAGTGAGAATTGTTTATACGACCTGAAATGACAAAAAGGTTTGACCAGGCTTAAAAATCCCAGTTAGTTTCACCTGCTAGGAAGTAGGAGATCCACTTGGCAGTACTTTCATAGTCACTGGCTATTTGCGGGTTTTTGCTCACCCAAGTCTTGTAGGAATTGAATAGTTCGGGAAGAGAAAGCAGTAGCGAGCTCATGACTATTTTATCCTCGAGAAATGATAATATATGATAATACAATAAAAGTTATCAAAGTGGCCACTTCAAAGCATTTACGGCGGCTGATGTTATTTCCATTCACGTTGAGTATTCTGTATGTGTTTATGGATGTGAAAAAATGAAACCCTTCTTATAATCAGGGATTTTGTTAATGATATTTATTATTTACCTACAAAACAATCTACTATAACCTAAGCAAGTGTTGTCATTCGGGTGTCAGCAGCGTTGCCAGACCAAAAACTTCGAAAGCGGTAGATTTAAAAATAAAACGGTAGATAATTATCCATTCTACCCCTTTCGAAGTTCTTGATCTGGCAATGTTGTTTACAGTTTTACTGTTAATCTAGTGTTATCTAGTTGACGTCTCTGAGTTTTGTATATATTTTCTGTTTTTAGAAAAAACTTCTCGATTTTTATACAACATTGTGTATATAGTTTGAGATATATGGCAACAGTGAACCAAAAGTGACAGCGTCCGTTTGACACCACAGACTTTTGACACTGACTCAGGTGACGACGACAAAGTTATTATTTTAGTGCAAAAATGGATATTTTGTGTAAATTTTCATAGAACTTTTCCTTAAATTGTACCGGAATAGCTAGAAAGTCTATCAACAATGTCGTCTTCGGCTATTTATATACTGGATATAAAGGGCAAAGTCCTGATATCTAGAAACTATAGAGGTGATATCGATATGAGTGTGATTGAGAAGTTTATGCCCCTGCTGATGGAGAAGGAGGAGGAAGGCCTGCTGACCCCCATTCTACAAACCACCGAGTGCACTTTTGGTTACATCAAAACCAATAACTTGTATATCGTCAGCACGACAAAAAAGAATGCAAACATTGCCCTTGTTTTTGTTTTTTTGCATAAAATTGTGCAAGTTATGACTGAATATTTCAAAGAGCTTGAAGAGGAGAGCATACGAGATAATTTCGTTGTGATTTATGAACTGTTGGACGAGTTAATCGACTTTGGATACCCGCAGACTACCGATAGCAAGATTCTACAAGAATATATCACGCAAGAAGGACATAAGTTGGAAATCCAGGTTCGGATTCCAGTGGCTGTAACCAATGCAGTATCCTGGCGATCGGAAGGCATAAAGTATAGGAAAAACGAAGTTTTCCTGGATGTTATTGAATCAGTTAATCTGCTTGCTAATGCCAATGGAAACGTCCTAAGAAGTGAGATAGTGGGTGCTATAAAAATGAGAGTCTATTTATCTGGAATGCCTGAACTTCGATTGGGATTAAACGACAAAGTCCTGTTTGAAAGCACCGGCAGAGGCAAATCCAAGTCTGTAGAACTAGAAGACGTGAAGTTCCATCAGTGTGTACGACTGTCTAGATTTGAAATCGACAGAACCATTTCCTTCATACCTCCAGATGGCGAATTCGAGTTAATGTCCTACCGTTTAAACACCCATGTCAAACCCCTCATATGGATCGAATCAGTAATCGAGCGGCATGCTCACAGCAGAGTCGAGTACATGATCAAAGCTAAATCTCAATTTAAAAGACGATCGACAGCTAATAATGTGGAAATAGTCATTCCAGTTCCCCAGGACGCCGATTCTCCTAAGTTTAAAACAACCATAGGCAGTGTCAAGTATGCTCCGGAACAAAATGCAATTACATGGACTATCAAATCATTCCCAGGAGGTGAGAAATGGTTTAAATATGAATTTATAAAACGTAATCAGATAAGAAGAGCAATTCTCAGAATGCTGATTTTATTACTCACCTCAATCTCACAATTGGATTTTGAACTTCGGGGAACAACAAAACGGTGAACAATTTTTTGAAATAATGTTCAATTCTTATATTCACTATCCCACCAGCCTATCAGTTCCCTGCATATTTGAAAAGTTTTAAATTCTTGATATATATTGCGTAATTCTTGCTGGATCAAAGGCGCCTATATTTGCCTCACCAGCTTGCAGGACACTGACCTTATTTACACTGTGTAAACAAATATTTTAAGGTGATGTTTTAGTTAAAACGGATTATCTTTTTTTAAGACTGAAAAACGTATTTGCTTAGCTTGAATAACTTCAGTAGGTTCAACTCAATGTGGGGATTTTGGTTATTAAATTTTTTTGTGGTTTTTTGAAGCAGTTGTTAAGGAGACGCTCAATTATTCGGCACTATTCCAGTTTTTATTCGTCATATTTCTGAGTCTGAATATACTTTGTTACATGGACACTACATTGTCGCAAACATTGAGGATATACCGCCAAACATCCTGAATGGATGAACGTTCACACATTTTCTGTGATTGCTTGCTAAAAATTTTTCAACTCTTGGCAATTTTGCCCTCTTCTCATCTTACCTGCCGGAGATTACGCTGTTTGTTAATAATGAAAAATCCCGAACATTGAACGAAACCAGAGCTTCATTTCAAACGAAATTATTTTTGAATTTTTTAGGTAAAGAATACCTGATGAGAGCGCACTTCGGACTGCCCAGCGTCGAGTGTGAAGATACAGAAGGCAAACCGCCCATTCAGGTGAAGTTCGAAATTCCCTACTTCACCACATCCGGTATTCAAGTTCGATATTTGAAAATCATCGAAAAAAGCGGTTATCAAGCCCTTCCTTGGGTGAGGTACATCACGCAGAACGGCGACTATCAACTCCGAACCAATTAATAAGCGCACGTATAAAAGTATTTTAGTTTTCTGCAAATATACATTTTCGTTGTTAATAAGTATTAATTGCTGAAGTATTGGAATAAATGGATTTTAGGGATTTTCGCAATTGGAGGCAAACATGAAAGGTGTATTTTCATAACTTTATTGTGCAATAAGTTAATAATTCATAAATCAACAGATTAAAAAAATACATAAATATCAGAATATCATTATATAAATACTATTAGTATCATATATGAATTTTGTCTACAGAGCCTTTTTTATTATTTGGCAACAAATCACAAATTAGAATATCTTACTCTAAATAATTTTCTTAATTGCTACCACTTCATATCACATTGAATTGTAATGCTACTAGGCACCATAGAATACCACCTTGGCTGATTGCAGCATTAACAGGAATACATTTTGAAAGTTTTATGTAATATGGAAATAACAGCGTAATATAATCTAATCGCGCATTGTTACGTATTTGCTGAATTGAAATTTTAACAATTAAATAACCCAACAATCTCGGACCTACAATATCACATATTCCCGTACACTAACAAAGTAGGCTTTTTTCCATTCCATTTTCTTTGAAAATAATTTCATTTTAAACAAAGCTAGACAAAATCATTCAATTCCATTTTGCTTAACACTATTTAAAAGTTAATTTCCTCATAGGAAAATGACGGAACAGTACATTTGGTTTTTAAAACTTCACTAGCACTAGCACTAAGAGTGGTTCGGTCTGATTCAGGCCTGGCATCGGTTGATTGCTTGGTATAAGTGGGTTCGTCATCCGGTTCTTCTACAGTACAAGAACCAACCCATTCGCTTTCCGGATCGGAAAATAGAGTTTTGTCGTTGTCTAGCACATCTTCGACTGAGTATTCGGACATCTCTACAACATTACAAACGTTAATCTTTTATAATTCGAAGGAAAATTGTTTGTGTTTTTATGGGCTGCAACAACTTGTATGTAAATATGAAAGAAAGTTGACTGCAGCAACGTATTTTTTTAAAGCTCACAACTTAAAGGCATTAAAGGTTCTGATGACTCATCGTCATATATTAGTTTCAGATATTTGGAACATATACATGTGTCCTTCCTCAGCAGGTGATTTAGGCGTACAGAAGAAATAGACAAAAATTAATTGTTATTAAAAACTGAGAAATTTGCAAAAAAATATATCAGAAAGACGGCAACAATGTTTTCAAGGCAATCTGCCTAATTAACATTGCGTAAATATATGCAGTGCTTCGTAATTATTAAAAATTCTAGGTAGATGCTCATATACTTTATGTCTGTGGGATTTTGGCATTCTTTTTAATTTCCCCTTAAAGTACACTTAAAATAAAGCAAATTCATCGAAAAAAATGCGGATTGTCCGCAGGTACTGACTATTTAAATAAAAAAACACATTAAACAGATTTAGCTTATGTTTTTTGAAATATCGGGAGAATGGTACATTTTTTGAGAATATCGTTCTAAATAGAGAAGATAACATAATGGCGTTAGTTAAAATAATGTATTTAAAAATTGGTCTGAAAAGACAATTAAAAAATGTCTTAAAGTACAACACTTCCCAAAAACCGACGATGCACGCATGAGTCAAAAAAACCTGAAAGGTGCAGGATTGTCCAAAAATTTGTTACATTCCGGAAAAATCCGATTTTAATTTATCATAAAATGCTTATTGCGCGCCTGATTTGAGTTGTTTATCTTTCTCTGTTTATAGATATTTGTCGGGTTTTTATTTGTGGATACATAGACTCTCAATAAAAAAAATGTTAATCATTCAGACGAGTGAGGAAGTGAATGACATCCGATACGTAGATATGGAGAGGATGGGGCCCCAGCTTGCAGAAGGTTTAGACGTGAAACTGTCACCAATTTTGCATTGTTTCATTTGCCTGTGAAATTTTATCTGAGGCACATTTTCTTGCAACAGGCACTAATCGAGAAAGTATTGCACTAAATAACGCTTGAAACAGAAAAAGAACGGCTCGCTTCGAAACGCTCGAAGTTGGTCCAAATTTATCAGAGTAACATTGATTTTGCCGATTCAACGCATCTTCAAATTACATCTTTAAGAAAGTTTTTTTGCAAATACCCTGTTTCCCATGATCAGCAGCGAAACGACATCAAAATGTGAACAAAATGATTGATAAATGAGAAACTTACGATCATCTAAAGGTTCATTTGGTCGGTAATCCAATCCGGTCCATATATCATCGAATTCTAGGTTTTTGTTAAGATCCCGTTCGTGTGGGGTTTGAAGAGCTGAGGACTCACTGTCGGTTACATCGAATATTTCTGTGACTTTCACCTGGAAAAATCGGCCGTTAGTGTTGCCTTTTAGATGCAAGATTGGTTGTTTTTGAAACCATACCTTATTATTTTCATCCAAATAATAGTACGCCATAACAGCATCGTGATCAGATGTAACTTCCAAAATGTGATCGAACGTATCATCGTCCATTGAATCATCAGTCTTGTTGATCGTAAAACTGGGTTTACGTTGCAAGAGCTGTTTGGTGTTGAATTTGTGTTCGGGATGTTGCAAGTCGCTAAAAAATATTGACGATAATATATGTTCTTATCTTCATTGAAAGTCCAAACAAGTGGAAAAAACATTAATCATTAAACCACTATACCTGTCGTCCAAGTCCAAGGTGAAGTTCAGGTTCATTTCGTTCTGAATGGGATCGATGTCCATATTCGTATCAACTGAAAAACACACGACTGTTGCAGATTGGGGTATTAATTGGAAATTATTGAACTCACCGCCTCCATACTCCGTCACAGCTAAATGGCAAGTGATTTTGGCGCTCAACTGTTCCGTTTTCTTATTAACATTTTTTAAAACAGAGGAAACTTGACCTGCCAGAACTTTGCTGAGGTCCCAGAATGCGTTGCGTACGTGTGGGACTGTTGATACCATTCTAAAAGCGCAAAACGCAACAAATTATTTGGTTTAATGGAACAACGATGGAGGAAATAAAGCAACCAAGACATGGCACAGAGTTACACAACATATTAGATTCTGCATTGAAACTAATGAGTTTGTAGGCCGTCGTACAATAGAAATTTTTCCTGACGTTTCGTAAGCACGAGTGGCTTGCATCTTCAGAGGTGGTTTGCTTGAACTCTTACACTGTTCTGATGGTGGTCATCAGAAATACGACGGTCTAAAAACCCACTAGTTTCAAGGAATGGCCTCGACAGACTATCTCTTCTGATAGATTCTGCATTGTCCGCAAGGAGACTCAAAAGTTTAGTCCAGCAGATAGTTAGGTAAATGATTGAAGCGAACATGTGGAATGCGTGTGTTTGCATGCAGTTACACATCTATTTAAATAACGTAAAGTGTCTTACTTGCAAGTTTCTGGGTACTCCGAATATCATGTCTGTAAACGATGATATAGCATGATGCGTTTTTGCAGCGATAAGATGAAGCCAAGAAATGATAATTTCAAGATTCAATACTTATGTAACTACATAGAAATTAAGGCATAGAAGCGTCTGAAAATTGGAGGATCGGGACAAGAAATTATACGATTTGATGATGATGATCAGTATATATTACCGCTTAAGCCTACACTCTTCCATTCATTCTACAAAGCTTCAAAATGTTTTGGAATGTCTGCAAGAAATGACTAAGACAAATACAAAAGGTGTCCCATTTGAATTGCCAAGTCCAAAAGCTAAACGTAGATTGACCTAAGAGTACCCGTAACTAAGTTGTTAGTCACCTTTCCCCTTGTTCAATAGCATGCTTTTTATGAACGAGCGGTCCGTTGGATGTTCTGTTTGCATGCGGTAAAATCAAAGATTGACAAGGTCTGTGCTCGTAGAAGTGCACATCCCGCTGCTTTCCAACTAAATTAACTAGTTGAAACTTTGTAACTTTTCGAAATACGAACGTACGAGTGATTTTCGGCACTTCAGGTGACACGATCCGCAATCTGAAAAAAGTAGTAAGATGCAAAGTTGATACACCCAATGGAAATGGGCAAGCCAAGTGGAACACCCTTGAATGCGTGTTAGTAACCGTATTCCACATAAAATTTAGTCCCAGATTGGTGTTCACTTACTTTGTAAAAGTAGCACACACCATATCAGCAGGCAGCGTGTACGGCAGGCACAAAATAGAAAACAGCTTCATTCCTCTGTGTCTGTAAACCCAATTTGAAACGCCCTTGTTTGCTGCGTCTATCACTTCTTGGAAGACGCTGAGGACGGTCTCTGGAACGTTGGAAACGAGGGCTTCCTGGAAACACATTCAAGGAACTTAGCATAATAAATTTGAATCGATTAGAAGCAAAAGAGTCAATGTTCACGTCTACAGGAGCAATTGATTTGCTTTAGTGGAACAACAAGTTGTTGGCAATTGTTTCCGATTCGAGAGTTGTGATTTATTGAATTGCTGCTTTCTTTGAGGAAAAATTTGAAGAAATACCGTTCGGGTGTGGACTTGAACGCAAGTGTCGAATAATTTGGAACTCTACAATGCTTCATAAAAAATTAAGACCCTTGAATTTAGAGCAGATGAAGCGATGGAAAAATTGTCGAAAGTTAGTCAAAAGTCAAAAGCCGCCATAATAGTAGCAAATTTCTGAAAAATTATCCACGCTCTCTATAAAAGTTGAACTTACAGGTCTTAAATTAAAGACTTATAAGACACTTATTTCCTACTTTGAACAAAAAGTGCAACTCTCTAAGCCTATGAGTTTGGAAGGTCGAATTTTTTTTCAAGGGCTTGTTGATTTCCAAGTCAAAAGACGCTAGAAAATTCACAATTTTTGCAAATTGTTGTAAATTATCCGCGCTCTCTATAAAAGTGCAACTTACAGGACTTAACTTAAAGACACACTTATTCCCTACTTTGAACAAAAATTGCAACTCTCTAAACTATGAGTTTGGAAAGTATAATTTGATAACATGAATAAATTGAATTTGAAAAAAAAATGAAGCGATGAGAAAAGTGTCGAAAGTTAGTAAAAAGCCGCCATAAAAGTCAGAATTTCTGAAAAGTTATCCGCGCTTGCTACAAAAGCGCAACTTACAAGCCTTAAATTAAAGACACACTTATTCCCTACTTTGAGCAAAAAGTGCAACTCTCTAAGCCTATGAGTTTGGAAATTATATTTTTTTTAAGGGCTTGTTGATTTCCAAGTCAAAAGACGCTAGAAAATTCACAATTTCTGGAAATTATGGTAAATTATCCGCTCTCGCTATAAAAGCGCAACTTACAGGCCGTAAAGACACACTTATTCCCTACTTTGAGAAAAAGTGTAACTCGCTAAGCCCATGCGTTTGGAAATTGTGAATTTTTTCAAGAACTTGTTGATTTCCAAGTCAAAAGCCGCCAGAATATTCTCAATTTTTGAAAAATTATCCTCGCTTTCTATAAATGCGCAACTTACAGGCCATAAAGGCACATTTTTATTTTCAAATGCTTACAAAAACATCGATTTGGTTGATCTTCGTTTATGAAATATTGAATCGAACTGACCCAAGTCGACTACTTTTTTCGCGAAGCTGAATGAAATTCGGGCTTTCATGATTAATCTAGTCTTTAGTCAAAAGCGATTTGATCTTCCAGGCGTTTTACGTGCGATTGGGTTTTGTAAGCATTTTTGTTTGAAACTGCTTACAAAGATGAGTTAATAGTAGTGTGTAAATAAAACTAAGACTGAATCTCGTGTTTCTTTGCTCTGAATAGCATCTGCTGAAAATAATAGGTACCTATATAATATAAATAACTGTTTTGCCTACAGCATTAATTTTTGCTATCGAATTTTGTAGGTGAAATAAGCGACTATTTTGTCGACAGGTTAAAATTATCTGTCGACCACTGAAAATATCCAATTTAGAACCCACGGTTTGCGAAAGATTTCACGTCTTCAATGATTAGAAAAACACGGATTAACTCTGATACCCTTGGCAGTTCAACTGTACAATAGCGGTTTCTAAAAAAAACGTGTTAATATCATACACGAGTTGATCCCTACATTCGTACATATGCTATCAAAATTTTAAAGAGGAGTTGACTTTATAAATGGCTTGATAATGGATAAATTGCTCTCCGTTTTTCGAATGTGTGATAGAAAATTTTCCAGACAGCTGCACTTATTTTTGGTCAATTAAATTGATTCTTAATTGGCTGCATGTATAATTAGCCGCAATTGCCTAATACGTCTGAACAATTTTTTTCATCTTCAGACATCAACAACCAAACGAAATTACGATAAGATGCTAATTTTAAACATGTGGGTGACTCCTACCTTTCGCCAACATTTAAGCGAGAGGTTTGCAATTAGCATCGGCTAATTATCCATCAAAGTAATTCCAGCAATATTTACATAGCAACAAATCATTTTATACGTTTATCTTGAAACCTGTCTCAATTGAATGTACGTATTAAAAGTGGACCTTACCCGGTTGTTAAGCTTTGAATCATGCGGCTTGTATTTGGGATCTGGCTTGTATTATATTTTCATTGTTACGTTTTTATTAATGATCTAATAGTTATTTGTTGTTATCTGTCGTAAAGTGGATAATTTGTTTACTTGTTCACGGCAACAGTCACTCGTAAAAGAAAAAAGTCGTCGAAGCAGATATGTATATATCATGTTAAATTCGTGATTCTCATTAGAATGTAATTTTTGCTTAATAATTAACATCTGGCTTAATTTATAATACTCTACAGACTGACTGGCGATAAATAATTAGATTTAAAATTTATCTGTTACTAGAAAATGATTTTACTTTGTTTCGAAGGTGAAAAAACTGCTGGCTCTTGAACTGATCACCGCACAATTGCGTTTTTTTCCAGAAAGATCATTGCAGATTAATAACTTTTATTTATTTAGTCACCATTAACGTCACGGCATGCGACGAAATTATTTGTAGTAAACAACCAGGATATTAATTAGGCAATTTTTAAACATTTTTTTGGTCTCTTACCTGTCGGTGTATTTTGCAGTCTTTGCACTGTGGGTCATACACTAAACTTTCCTCTATTGTGTCTGAAACGACAAACGTAGATTGAACGGCTAGGCATTTGGTGCAGTTGATGAGATTGTTCTTGTGCAGAAACCTGAGAGCATCGTCGAACCCTTGCTTACACAAGTTGGCGAGCTTCTCTGGATGAGGCGGAAACAGAATACGAAGAATTCTGTAAATGTTGTGTTTGGACAGTTCGATGCTGGTATTGGCAACATTAATCTGCAAACAACACAAAACATGAATATTGGCGGGAACGTTTGCGTACAACCTGAAACTTACATGGAACAATTGCGCACTATCGTCTCTTGGGCATATATCGGATTCGCCACAGAATGGACTCACTGTAATGGTGTTTTCGTCTAATGTGGGCAAATTGTCGCTATAACCGCCATCCATGTATCGCGTATTTTTGAACTTGGGTGGCAGCAAACCGGAGAAAATTGGAATGAACGATGAAGCCAGAAGGGCTTGGATTAGCTCATCTCGGGTGTCGTATTGGGTCACTATCACATTTTGACCTGAAGAATAGAACATCGAAATATATCAGAAATAAGCTGATTTTTTAATATAATAATTAGCATAAGTTTGATGTTCAATTTGATATTGATTGCAATGTCTCCAAAGTCAGCAGTTGCATTTTCAGACAGAACAACACAATTATTGCAGAAAAAGCGCACTGAAACTATACAAATGCAGGCGCAAACTTTGATTGCATGGCCGAAGTTCCTTCATTGATTAGTAAATATCTAATCAACAACCATTTACCAATTTCTACCCCATTTGAATATTTTTTGTACTGTTTGTTTGTCTCGAATAAAATTAAGTTTGTTTGTCTCGAATAAAATAAATTTTGACATCCTTATCCTCAATGTATTTGTTTATTTTCGTCTCCAAGTTTGTTCAGTTTAATTTACTATTTTGCGCTTAAACCATTGTTCTTCAAAGAGTAGGTAACATTTGGTTTTAAAAATGTGCATTAAAACGGCTAATTTTTGTTTAGTGTATTTTAAATTGAAAATGCAATATGTTTTCTGAAAACTCCTTTGTTAAGTTTTCTATCTAGATACTCATATTAACAAGGTTAATGTTGAACAAAGATAAGGTGAATTTCCAGGTATTTCAGATTGTTCGAAAAACAATGCATAGTTCCCATGATTGAAAGTGGTTTGGGCATAAATTCGATAAATTTCTTTCGGACGTTTTGCTTGCATTCCCAGAGCCATCTGCCGGAAAGCGCACTGATGTGGTAATTCTTTACAACAAAGGTACAATTGTTCGTCAAGTTTTAGTGCAAGCCGCTTGTACTTGTGAAATATCAGGTGGAATTCATGCTACTAAGGCGACAAAGTACGAAACCTGAACCACTTTTAAACAATTATCGCGAAAGCCTCATCCATGTGATTGCAACAGAAAATTATAAAATTTTCATCATTGATTAGAATTAACAAAACACACAGTAACCACAGTAAAACGAACAAAATGATAAATTAATCGAATACTCGAATTGAAATGAATGTTGTACAGCTGATAAGGATTCACAACGGGATCAAAACTAGCTAAAGCCTTCGAACCAACATTTTCTATTATTTTCAGAATCCTTGTATTCACTTTCTCTTTGCTCGAGATAACTCGTATTAATATTGATCGAATAAAGTACTTCAAAGACAAGATGTTTCAATTATTAGAAAGCTTCTTATTTGATTGCGAAATTTTATTAATAGTTTTTCATCTAAATTTTACTTTCTCATGTAACGGAAGTGTTCATTTAATTTAATCATAATCATCAATCAGTTTATCAAGTAACTTTAAATAAATTGAACTGCATTCACTGAAAGTGAAACGGGCACAGTGTTTGGGGTATCACAATTTTTTCTTATTTTTATTTGCCTGTCAAAAGCAATTATTAGATAAATTAGAGAATATAAATATCCAGGTTTTAACAAATTTAATTTAAAAACAGACATTAGCAGACGAGTAAGTTATTTTCATTACCGACATTTTCTTAATTAAAAATTATTGATGATCGGATTCAAATGGACGCAGTTTTGTTTTATTCACAAGAGCCTTTGTTTTCTTAAAAAACGGAAATTGTGATTGAATGCAGCGCGGCGAAACTGCCCCGATCTTTCTGCAAAAAGTAACATTTATGCCTAGTTCGCATAAAAGCAATAATATTTATAGGGTTTTTAACCCTGTGTGTTCGTTAGATTTAGGTTTTACCTTTGCTTCATGATGTGCAATTTTTGTTTATTTTATCTCAAAGCTTGAAAAAGACATGGACAATTTTATGGAGTGGAAAATGATGGGAGTTTAGAAAAGAATGAAAAAAGATGTTGTTCCACATAAATTTGCCTGCCCAAAAGACAGAAAACGAAGTAGTGACGCTCCCGTACGAGCCGTAGTTTTGAAACGTAATAGACTTAGACGCTTTAGATGCAATATTATACATGGGTATAAATAAAGCTTTATTTATAATTACGCTACTTAGAGAGAGACTACAAAATTGGGTTTTGTAAATATTTATCTAGTTCTTCAAAAAATTGGAATTCACAAACCTTTTGCTGAACTAGTTGATCATTTTGAATTTTCCGCAAGTACAACGAGTATAATTTTTGCAAAATCCCTTCCATTAATTAGGAAGATGTTAAAGAGTTTAATAGTCTGGAAACCATCTAACAAAGTTAATAAAAGTCTAAAAAACCTATATCTTTTCGTGCACATTATAGTAAAATTTACGCCATATCGATTGTTTAGAAATTTAAATTCAGAAGCCGGAAGATCCAGTCAAACAAGCTCTTACATGCGTCAGATTACAAGAAAGCTAATACCATAAAGTATCGATATGGTCAAACCCAGAGGGCATAATAAATTATATTTATTAGGCCTTAAATGTTAATGTATTAAAAACGCTGAGCTAGCTACTATGCAATATGCAAGTGTACATTCTGCTGGTTATCGGCATATAACTAGCGTAGGATTTGTGCCACTCTACGTTACAGCCAGTAAAACAACGTTCTCGCGTGACGTCATTTTACAAGCAAATCTGGAAAATTTTGCTCCATTTTTTTAATATTAAATTTTTTTTTTTTATTTGCTTTAGGAATTTTTCTGAAGAACCCTCACGCTGTTTCGGAGAAGTTTCAACCAAAAAAAAATTTTATGCACAAACCCTTTTCTGTCTTTTTTAAAGACAAAAATGTTTGAGGCGAAATACCCAACAAACTATTTGTGAAAAAATAACCAATGATGTTATATAAAATTTATAGCTGAATGATGTACAAACGGATCACAACAACTTGATTATGAGATAAATGAGTCTAATGCAAATTCCATAGAAGCCTACAAGACATCCTGAAACACCATAACCGAGCGGAATCAATTTTTAAATCAATTGCAGAATCAATAATTACTTGCCCAGAAAAAATAGAATCGAAGTCAGCAAGAAGAAGCAATACTAAGTGCTAGTTTGTTAGTTCGTTCCCTCAAAACAATTTCTTTTTTAATAACAATTCATTTTATTTTTAATAGCAAAAAGGAATTTTCCTCCAAATGTTCACTAACTTCACGCCTGAGCATCTATTTCCAATCTCAGGAATCTAAATGGGTTTGCAAGGAATTTTCGATCGGAGAAAATGAAACTTTTAGGCCGATTCATCTGTTGACAAAGAACCGATTAACATTTGAAAAAAGCTTTTATTTTCCCATTCATATTTTGGAGAATCATGTTTGTTTGTTGGTCCAATAATTAGCTTGTTATAAAAATAGCTGTGCTTTTATCATGCAGCTCAAAAATATATTACTGCTTCCGCATCAGAGATCTTAAAGTTTCTTCACGAAAACAAACCTTCAACGTGGTAATGTTCTTCTAACATGATATCGATAAATTGCATAAATAGTAATTCAGACTCTTAACTTAAAATCTAACACCTTACTTACCATCACAGACTCTTGTTAGAGATATGTGCAGTTTGCCACTAACTCTAATGTGGGCATCAGCTGGAAGAAACTTTTCCAACCCTTCCATTAGAAGTCGATGTATATTGAACGAAGGGTTAAAAGGTCCTAAAGACTTTTTTCTCGCTTCGGTGGCTAATCGCAAGATATCACTGGTGGTTTCACCTGAAACAAATAAGACAATTAAAATCGTATATGTCCCCTTGGGATGAGTAAACAACATATTTAAACAGTCTAAATTTCGTGGACAAATACAATGCTGATATTTCTTCGATAAGGTCCAATAAAATTGAAAGTTCATTAGCATTCCGATAAGCCGAAGAATCGATAATAAAAAGGTTCCCCTGCGAACCGCAAACAAAAAATAAGAATTCTGATTAACATTGTAGTTGGTGTTTGCTTAAACTGATAATTATACATATTAAAGACGATTAAAATTAAGAAAAAACCGTGTTGGTTTAGACGGCCTATTAATATCCGCTTTGACGAGGGTTCCTGACAATATTATTTAAATTAGGAAACTAATCGCAATTCTAGCGAACATTTTTGATCAATATTTGGCCAAGTTTATCAGCAATTAATGTAAAAGTCTTGGCAAACACATTGCAGTAAACATATATTTATTTGAAGGAAATATTGTCGCATTAGTTTTTAACAACAACTAATAAACTAGCGTCACTTATATTATGTATGTCACGGAATTATCAACAAGAATGTGTATTTCAAGATTTTTTTCTTTTGTGCATAACAGATAGAGATTCAATCAAGTCGTAGTGCTTTATGTTTGATCATGTCAAATATTTTGTAATGAAACAAAACTAATCTAATAATATTATTATGATCCTTTAGATGACTTGCTAAGTTAAATTAAATGGGTGTGTGTAATTGTTTAGCCTCCTTCCCGCTATTAGATATAAATGAGGTTCGGGAACATTGACTTGCTGATATGCGGAGAAATTTTACAATTTTTGAACGTTACTTTTGTAGAATTTGATCATTTCTTAGCAGTACAGGCTTTAGTTGACCAGTTGCAACCGCTTTCTTGACGGAATAGTTTACCTTATTATTTACCTTACACGTTAAGAAAGTTTACCGCACGCTGATTGCAGCCAATCCAAAGGGGAAAATATACTTCCTCACGTATTTGGTACAAACATTTGACCTAAAACCATCTATATCATCAAAAGAAGGCATTTTTTTGACTACAAAGGACGTATTTATGAAAGAGCACTTTTTTTAAAAGTCTGCGCCGTTTACTGCCCAAAAAAACATCAAAAGAGAATCTTAAATTATAAATGTGTTTCTAAAAGAGATTTTGGCTTGTGAATACTGTTTTTGATATTGAGTGTGCGGTAATGTGATGGTTTTCATACCCAACTGAGTCCGGTAAACTCTGCCTGCAATGCGTAAAGATACCAAATAGTTGAGTTTAGAGGTCGCCATATTTTATATTTCAAGAAGATATTTCAACTTTTTCTCAAAATAAGCACTTTAAGTTTGCATCGTTTTCTTAAATTTTTTTATATGTATTGAATTATTAACAATTTTTTCTGCAAGATTCAAAAACTCGTCAGACTAATTGAGCAATGAACGACCAGGAAAAAAATAATTTAGCAAGCAAGCTTTTTTTGAATGTAGAAAATCCACATAAAAATTATATTTAATTCTTTATACGAAAATTTGTATAAGCGCGAATAGGGCTTAAGCATCTGGGGCAGCATATATTCAGGATTAAAAACCAGTAATTTTTTTCGGGGAGGTCAGAAAGTAAATCTACGACACTGGATCGAGAAAATAAAACATGAACACCCTAAGGCGGCGAATTATTCAATCTTGTAGAAAGAGCAAAGAGTGTTGGAAAACCTGAAACTTTCGCCTAACAATGTAATGCGACTTTAAGCGTCCAAAACCGGCTTCTTATGTAATAGGTTTTATGTAAACATGGTCACCTGTTGTTGGTTCTAACATTGCAGACCATGGTTATTTACATAACTTAGTCTTATGTATCTGATTATGTCGAATATTTGAAAGTTACGAAAATCGGGGGGTTTAAACCCTCTATATTTTAGAAACGGTTGAGTTTTCAATTTCACAATTTTTTTTTCGATAAAATCAGATGGAGCCATTTTGGACTCTAAACAGATAAGTTATTCGGTTTTTGATTTATTTTTATGTTATTGGATTTTGGTTAAACACGACGCTCTCAAAATAGCCATTAACAGGCATTGAACCGTGTCACAGCAAAAAAGGCAGAAAAAGTAAAACATTAAGAATCCTTCAAGAATTGAAGAAATTAATTCGAAACTTGTTTTTTTATATTATTGTTTTTATGTAATTATGGATAGTTAAGACGTTTCTTGGCATCATTCTTTATTCATTATTTTTTCTGGTAGGTATTTAAATAATATTATTATTTGTCAGTAAAAGACGCCTATTTAGGTTTGTGGGTTTTTCGGTCAATAGATGGTCGCAAAAATAAAACACTATTTCTTAATGGGCCTATTTTTCAGGCACACGAACACAGGTATGCCCACAGGCTATTATCATCACGATCACTAATTAACCAAAACATTATTATTTGTATTATTAGTTTATAAAAGAGGGTATGATCTGTAAAAAAATCATGATGGAAGCGTTGCATTCTACAAAATTGAACAAAGTGTCTTAAAATCTGCGAAATTTGTAACAAAAAAACTAGGAATATCTTAAAACTTTCAAACTCTATTGATCGGAAACGATTGCAGGCTTGTTTGTGTGCAGTTTAAGCAATAAAATAAGCTTCTTCTTTTGTATATTTTATTACATAGTAAAGCTTTGTATCTGATTGAATAAATGATCGATTAACAGATTCTGCAGATGATTTTTCACAGGCAAATTGAACTATTAAGAGTAACAGTAGTAACTGAGGAGTTAATTATAGGATAAGAACACAAGAACAATAGGTTCAAGTATCTTAAATAAACATAGTAGATCTATATTATAGACGCATAAAATTTACACTTTAATGAGTCAATTAGATTTTGTGATTCGATGTGTTTCAGTGATAAAGATAGCACTTCTTTAAAACAATTTAATGTAAATTGTGTCTTATCCATTATTCGAGTAACATGAAAACCCTTTGAGAACCCGACTTGTAAGACTTTTGTTTTAAAAACGTTAAAAAGTCGAAATTAATGCTAAGAGTTTTAACCGACATTTTCAGCACTGCCAATTTTGTTGGAACATAACAAGAACGTTTTTTAGCGACATTATCAAATTCTTGTAAATTATGGCAAAAATAATGACCGTTTGTTTTGAAATTAATTAAAAAATGACCAATTGCTTAACCTGTGTTCATGTAATGTTCATGGTAAATTAATGGTTTGAATATTACTATGAAAGGCGGTGTATTTTAGAAACGCATTTATTTGAAATCAAGTAGCAAACGTGTATTATCATAAACAAACGTTCAGTGTTGTTCAAAATATTGACAACAATTAATTTGTCTTTTGTTTTTCCCGTGTTCTTATCTTTTGTTGCATAGTCATCGATCGGTTTTCATTGAATCCTTATTGCTATTAACTAATACGTAATACTCGAAGTACAATAGTTAAGCTCTAAGGTCAGTTCGCTGTTTTGGTTGTGAAACCGCTCATCAAAAGGTCAATTTGATGCGAAATATTTCTATTTGGCTAGGAAAGATAACTTTGCAAAAAGCTCTCTGTGTTTCTCTCAACTAAGAAATTATAATCCTCTGGCGGAATTTATTATTTCATTTATTTGCGCGTAAAAAACTAAATTTTAGGGATTTATGTTTAAAATTCTAGACTCCTCATCCTCCGTACGTAATTCAGTGTTTTGAGGAAGCTAATTTAAAATTGAATAAATCATAAAGACTTCAGTCGAGGCGAACACTTGAGAACAAGAGTAAAACACCCCAGGAAATGCCAAAGGACTAACAGCACTTAAATTACCGTTAAAATCATTTGATCAGATCCCCAAGATCAGTTAAAAATAAATCCGTTAGTTTTCATTAAACGATTTGCGTACTTTTGAGTTAAAATTAGAAACCACCCGATTGGAAATTCGGTTGAAGGCATTCAAAAGTTTACTGATGTTACATGCGAAGTTGAAGATTTCGGACGAAAAGAGTTTGACCTCACTTCAAAATTACTCCTTTTATACACGTTTTACTAATGCTTTGAAAAATGTTTGATGTCACATAAAGATTTATTCCCCTTGTGGCATAAGCCGGTTCTTTTCAATGTATTAGTCTTTTTAAATTTTATTGTATAGATAGACTGTTTGCATAATGTCGATGAATAATGTTTCTCAGGGCACAATTGAAGTTTAGTTCATACAATATTTCGGTTCTTACCAAGTGGCAAGTCCAGCAGCAAACAGCAGGCAGCAATGGCACCGGCGGAAGCTCCGGATATTTTGTTTAACAATAAATGAGGGGCATATTTGCGAAAACAGCATGCAACACCAATGTGGTAAATGCCCAAAAACCCGCAACCCGCAAAGGACAAATTCATGATTGAAATTTAAATTACTGCTCACTCTGAAGACGATCTAATTGTCAAGTTGCAAAATTAACTAAATACGTAATAAATTAGTACTTTAATAGCTTATTTCACTTGCAACTTACTATACGTTCAATTGTATACTGAGCGCATTTATGTTGGTTTACAGCAGATGTTTTCTACTCCTACCGTACGACCTCAACGCTGTTGTCACATCTTGAAGTGGATTTTTCAGTAGACAGAAACTTGGGCATTTTTTGGACAATTTTGCTTCGACAGTGTGCCATAAAACCGTCTCCCAAACGCGGAACTTTAAGAGATAGACTATGAACTGAACTTGTCCGAAAAAAAAACATTTTTTTAACTTAAAATGCAATGTCGCGTCTTACTAAACTATAATTTTTAAAAAGTTTCTTGTTTCAGAAGTTTCATATTCTCATAAACAATATCTGCATGCAACTTGCATATGACTACAACCAGAAACCAACTTGAAAAATTTCCTCTCCTGAATCTTGGTTTTCAAACGAGTGCATCGCTTTTGATGATGTGTGCGGCAGATGCAGCTTTTGCTCACATGTGAGCAAAACGTCAGGTAGAAACACCAGTTGGCGAGCAAACCTCAATGGGAGTAAACTTTTTAATTAAAAAAAAAAAAAAAAAAATTTTTCTAAAAAAATAATTTTGAGTCCATTCTCAGTAAGAAATGAGTTTCTAAAGTCACAAAAAGTTTCGAACCTACATAAATGCGGCAACATCGACATAACTGTCCCCGATAAGTTCCAGCTATTCATATTTGACCATAAGAGTAACAAAGAAGATAAGGCCATTATCTTCATGTCTTGTTCTATCCATAGATAAAGACGAGATGGTTCTATCTTCTTTCGTTATCGACTGTGATTGGTCAAGTTTGGTGGTGTGGTTTGCCTGTTTCTGCATTTCAGCATCAATTTCTCACGCACCGCATTCGCCGACCAGTAGAATTTTCCGAAGGTCTAGACGGTCTTCAGCTGAAATTCATTTATTTAGCCGGCAAAAGTTGCTTCCAAAGATACAAAAAGTTTATCGATTAATGGGTTTACAATGTGACCTAAGCGGGTTTGCAGAAGATAAAGCATACAATCATCAGTTGAAAATAGAAAACGTGTGTTATAATTTTAACAAAGACAGTTTTTTTTTAAGTTGGGACTACAAAAGTGAGATTTTAAAATTGTCGGAAAAATATGAGAGCAGCCTTGCAGCATTAAAATAGCCACAAACATCATATATTTATTATCACTTTATCTTCGTACAAGTGCGTCAATTTAGATTCGCATAACATCGTTTAATAAAGCAAAACAAGCCCATTCGCTTCCTAATAACAATCTACGCTGACTTTTTGAAGGTCTCTAAGGTTAAATAAGCCACTTTACAAACGGGAAAAAATACAACACTTCTTCACTATATGTAGTGTCAAGTTTATCACGTGTATATTTTTGTTATTAGGAAACGACAACATGGATATATCCACATGCGTCAGAGTATTTCTACGCTAAAAGTCTCGCAATTAGATTAGTTTAACTTCCCAGTTGATAAGTTACTGGGTCATTTGTTGTTGTAACAATGGCAATTGCGGGTGAATTTATCCGTTTGAAAAACCCTTTTAAAAATTACATTAGTGAGTTTGGCACTATTGATTTGCAGGGGTTGAAAGCAAAAGTGCGTTCTTAAAAAAACTGCCTGCAAATATGACCCCCTTAGACTCGAAAGCTGGATCCATCGCTGCTCTATGTAAGATATTCAAATCTGAATGAATCGAGTTTTTAATTCTCTATTCAACGATCCCAAAACAAGTTCTGTGGCTGAAATGGTTTTTGAGAAACTTCGAAAAAAGTAGCGTCATGTTTGAGTCGATTTTGCAACTCAAAAAACACGTACAAATCTAAAACTTCTTGAAATCAACAGTTTTTTGGGAAAACTGCCAACATTTCCTTATCGATGGTTCACTTTCTAAAAAGGCCATTTACTTCTCTCTGGAATGATGTACAAATGAGCGTTCTTCCACATTTCGCTTCCGAGAAATGAGCAAGAACGGGACCGAAAACCTAACATTTTGGCCTAATTTTACACCTAACTATCTGATATTCAAATTTCGGTTTCTGGTTCAAAACTACTCGAATTTCTAGACTCATGTTGTTATGACTGAATCGAATTTTCATTTTCAATTCTCTATCTAACGATACCAATGTCATGTCATGGCCAACCTGGTTGTGCTGGGTTTATACCTACTAACGATAGTGTTTCTAATTTCATAAGAATTTCTAATTCAAAAGAAAACTGAATTTCTAATACATGCCCCCCCCCCGACTTGAAAGCTGGATCCGCCCCTGCTTGTCACCTAATCAATATCTACTATTCGGTTTCTGAACACTAAATATCAGATAAATTAGGTTTAATAAAAAAAATGATTAGAGAGGAGAATGTTGAGATGATATACATAAATGATAAAATGTATTCGTAGTTAGCTGATATGTGCTGTCGTAGATGAGCGGATGTGAACAATTAAACCCTGTTGATAAATTTATTACATTTTACTTCAGGCGTTTTTTAATACATTCAGAATTTTTCCATTTTTAAAACTAGTTTTATTGGATAACTCGATCTATTTTTTACCAAAAAATTATTATTTCTTCCCAAGTTTTTACCTAAACTATGTAAAGGAACCTACACTGTTCCAACGCAAACTTATAAAACCAACGGCATTTTCTTGCAGCGGCTGTGGAGGAATGTTCATTGTATAGACAAAATTTAGAAACACTGATTTTTCCGGTGGCTAAGTAATAAATTAGGCAACCGTGTTACTTTACACAAAAGCTGTTTCCTGTGTTCTGTCGTAAATTTAATTAACTACATTTTTTTTCAATAGACTCTTTCGGTCAGGGAACAGTGGCGGCACCTGAAAAAAGTGACAAAAAATCAGTATAAAACATTTTTTTCATTGAGTTTTGTACTTTGTAAAAATTATTTTAAAATGTTTTTACATTAATTAAATTGAAGACAATTGCCATGGTAGACAGCAAATCAGCAATACATGAAAACAGAATTGCTAACAAACAGAAAATACAAATTACTTTTTCAGTTCAACTCTATTCATATCTTAATTGTTACAATGTACGATATCCAATAGTATTAAAGCATAAATAAAATCCTAGCTACTTACACATATTAAAATTAATTACTAATAGTTAAACAATCGAGAGTGCGCATCGCAATTGGTTCAAACAGTTTTGCACGATCTCACAGAAAGGACTTACGCCTCTCGGCAGCCCACCAGCTGAAGCCTTAGGGCCATGTTTGCACCACTCCCACCCCAATCGGGGGCAGAAATTTTTTTCTTAACCGTCCGCACCAGTCCTGGCTGATTGCGCTTGCGCGTCTAAGAAGTAGAAGCCGAGTTAAGAAGCATGCTTCCAGCTGCTTCTTAACTCGGGAGTCGGATGCATTGCCACTTCATGACCATGAGCCATAGAATGGGGCCTAGACCAGATCCCTGCGGACAGCCTTTCCCAATCTTACACCTCACCCTTCCACTCTAGACCACTCTGCCCCCCAAAAAGCTCCAGCACATTCTCACCAAACCACTGTCAACCCCGGCCCTTTCAAGCTACTGGACAACAACCGGAGGAAATACAGATTGCCGTGCAACTAGAAACAAAACATTTTGCTCAAAAACGCGGATGGCGCTGAACTAAATGCAGCGAAATCTTCATTTAGACCACTGCTTCTATTAGCAGGACTAGGGGGAAGAGGAGTGTTGCGCGGATGTTCAAACGAGCGCATTCAGCACGATTGACCCAGATTTAATAAAAATTTAGCAGTAACGTAAATCGGTACGTTATTCTTTATTCTACGGGTCGATTTTAGTTGCGGGGTTGGAACTTTGCTAGCAGTTTTTATTTATAATTTAATACAAGGCGAAAGCCGAGTATGTAGTATTTAGAATTGCATTAGAATTGGCAATTTTTTTTTGTTATAAAAAAAATGCATTAATATTCCAATGGTGGTTATGTAGTATAAGTTATAAAAATCCGGAAGCACAATTTAAACCGTTCGATACCTTATTTGTTAGTTTCTTGTTCTTCTTTTAATTTTTTTGCCTTTTTAGACGGTTCTCATTAAAAGCGTAGAATTTGCAAGATTATTTGTTTTAGTAACTGTGAGTTTAGAATCCCCCCATCTTCTAAATTATTTGTTTTCTTTTTGTTTTGCTCATATTGTCTGCACTTCGTTTTTACGAATTTTGAAAACATTCTGGCGCGCGTTGAAGCACCATGTTCTTCGTCCCGGGCCCACCTATTGGACGTCAGTAAGGCTTAGGTAGGCCCTGCCTTAGACGCCGGATACAGTACATAGATGGAAGTTCTATCTGAATCGAAACGCCGCAGATTTTAGTCGGTGAGATATAACTAGCGTTTCAGTTGGAGCTGCTACTTGAGAAGTGGCTATAGAGTTCGCCACAACGTTTTCGATCACAAGCGGTTGAGATGAAATAATCTAAGCTTGCAGGATGCCGGCGCTTTAATTTTTAAATCGCTTTTATGGATATCAATAATTTCGCTTTGTGTTTCCGTTTTAGTGTGTTCTAAGCTGTTGAACTGTACAAGCAAAAAGTCAACGTATATAAAATATTAGAATTTGCTGAGATTTTCGCTAATAGAATTAAAAATCTGCATACCGAAGTCTTATTCACATATCGTGAAAACTTCAGACCTCACGATTTAAACGCTTGATTCTATTTAGAGTCTTTAGGATTCACTTTCATGTTTACACACTTTTATATTAAGAACGTTTGTTAATGTTTTTAGTTGACCCAGTTGTGTCTGGCTGTGAAGGAAAAGTCTACTAGCGAAAGCTCCTTAAAAATATTCGGGACTTTATGGTCAAATTTCTTTTTGCATTTTTCCTCATTGTCTTTTGCGAGCATATTAGAATTATTCGTGTACTTCAATATTGATAAAATATTGAAATTCTGCTTACTGAAGTTTCTTTATTTTACGAATGGTGGACAACTGTATTAAGTATTTTTGAATTCTCTAGCGCTGCTTAAAAATTTCGTTTTCATTGCGTTTGGCCTGGATTTTTTTAAATCCCATTATGATTGCATTGCAGATATTCACCTAAAGGCCTTTTTTCTATTTCATGAGTAAATAATAACACATCCATATTCGCAAGCAAGTCGGCATAAACTGGGATAAACTGTGTGGTCTTACGGTTCAAATAGTTCTAGTTCGCCTTAAAGAATAGAACAATGCAGTTATTCACCAAATTTCCTGGCGCAGTCCGAACTCTTCAGCAATGAAAATAAATACTTGCTAGAGCCTCACTGATTTTTAACGAAGCTGACCTCGTCAGAACTAGAGGAGAAAAGCACTAGTAATGATTTAATTTTAACTCTTTCTTGAGCTACACTAAATTATGGTAGAAAATGTATTTCTAACGACACTGTTTCACCCCATGCAAATCGCACGATTTTTGCATCATTCACCACTTTCCAACAATTCCTGCTCCTCAATATAGCTCCGCGTCGTCACCAAAGAGGCAAAAAGACTTCTTTCAAAGTCTTCTTTCAAACCTTACAACGTGAATAAACTGAAGTTTTTACTCTGGAAAAAAGGCAATTACACATTATTGCGTTCGAACTGTCGACCTGTTAGTCGCTCGGCTAATGGAACGGCTAAATAAATATAAAGTTGAGCAAGATTAAGAAAACACTTCCACAAAACAATTAAAATGTTATTTTAAAAAACCGCGTAATGTAAAGCTAAGAGTAAATACTTTTCTCCAAAACGTATGCATCGATAACGTATCTGTTTCGAAACAAATGAAATTAACAATAGAAAATAATGATTGTGATTGCTTGGTTCAATAATGAATGGCAATAAGACGGAGCAGCTAAAATTAGTATTTTTGGACTTCGGAATTTTCTCTTTATTGCTGCATAGACTTTTTGCAATTTCTTGGATAATTATTTACGCATTTAAAACATTTCCGGGAAACATTGATTTCAACATACCAAGCTAAAAAACATTATTTTCTTTGACAATAAGGCGAAACCTTCATGGTTTGCAAATTATATTTTTGGATAATGCGGTGGAGGAATATTAATTTGATAAAAACTCATAATAAAGTTTCATTGTTAATCACGTAAAAAATCATCTAGAATAAATATAATAAATTAAAAAGTATGTTTTTTAAAAAATCTGCATCCTTTTAAAATTTCCTTTGAATTGCGCTATTTTTTAACCTCCATGTTTGAGTTATTTTTGGGATTGGGAAGGAGTTTATAGGAGAAAGAAGGATTAGGTATTAATTTGGAAACAGCCATTATCCGAATATGTTTTTTCGTTGGATAAATAACTCGAAATAATAGCGAGTTTTACGCAGGAAATAATTCGCGCTACTGATGGGTGCATTTATAATTGGAGTTCACTCCAAGTTACTCGCTATAAAAAAGACATCTATTATTTCCTTTTATATTGTTTTCGGAGATGGGCAGGAAAGAGAATGAAGCAACGGGACCTTATTAATAGCCCGGTATTTAACCAATTTTAATATTTGCGATAATTCTATTGATCGCTTCAAATGTTCTTTTATAATTTCCATATTTTTGAAGATTATTTTGGACAAACTAGAGCTTGAAGTTGAACTTTCTTAGATCCCAATTCCCCGTTTTTATATGTAGATTATCTAGCTAGAGCCAATGTGCACTTGAGACATGTATGTTGAAGTATAAGATAATAATAATTTTTATCTTATGGAAAAACCATCGCTACTGACAAAATAAAAATGCTGTTTTTTTGCACAGTGTAATTTTTCTATGGCAATTTTCGCATCCTAAATCTCGTTCACATATTTTCAGCCGTTTAGGAATAGAATAGGAATGCTTTTACCTATCTTTTCTTGATATAGAACATCCTCAACTTCCGAAAGAAAGGTTTTTTTAAACGTATTCGTATTTTTCTCAATATTTCTTCAATTTTGTACGGGGCACATAGCAGAATATTTGAAAGAAAAAATGTGCATTTTTTGTTCTTTCTGTTGCGTTAAACGACAAGAGTTTTGATGTTTTCATTCAATTTCAAAGAAAAGGTTCAATTTAGATTTTCCAATTTATGCATGGTTTTTGAGTGAAAAATTTAGTTTGCAACTGTGCCCTAAAAACTTTTGACCAAAACCGGATATCTGCTGCATTTTCAATCAAGAGCAGTGTATCGGACAGGAAAATTGAAAAAATCCTTTTTTCAACCAAATTTAACGAAAAATCTGAGAATCACTTTTTGATGTAAAAAATTATGGAGTGTTCGTTTTTTCCTTGAAAATCTGCTATGCTCCTATACGTACGCTACTGACAAAATGACGATTTTATAGCCAAAAGAGATTCTTCAAACGCGTCTACTGAATTTCAAAGTCATTTTTTGTTTATTTTTCTATATTTTCACAAAAATACACAACGAACTATTCCAAGAATTATTCTCTTCTTTAATCAATATTTCTGTATCCAATAAAGATCAAATCATGGATGTAAAAATCTTGTTTGAAAGCATTTTTTTAAATAGCCTTCAATATGAATTGGTGAAAAAATGTGTTACACGTCGCCAAATTTGAAAATTCAAATCATTTTTCAAAATCAAAATGAAATTCAAATTATTTCGATTATATTTCTGCAAGTTACAGATCAAATCTTTCCCTATGGAGCAATGAAAACGTCTGGTTGCTATCGAATCACCTTTGGCCAAAATAAATATTTAAAAATTAGCATCAGCAATTGCTAAGCGGACAAAGACATCGTTGGCAACCAAACTTTGATTGGTTGCCAACGATTGATTGTTGAACAATATCCTGCAAAATGGATTGCAATTGTTTCACCAATCTTGAACAGCCTGAACTTTCTTGATGAGAGATTTTTTAAATATACTTGCATGCTTATTCAGCCCTTCATTGGTTTATAGAGTTTCTGCTAGGAAAACTGGATCACTATCACTTAATTTACCTTCAAATAGAATTATTCCTTTTCTAGAAGCTGGAGGTGATGATTATTTTCACCGATTAAAAATGGAGCTCTAAAACCTGCATCTAAAAAGCGAGATTTGGTATTTTATTCTCGTTCTTCTGGTTCGACATCTGATTCGATTCACAAATAACTTATTTCTTTATTTATCTGAACGAAATCCCGACTTGCTCTCAGTGTTCCCAAACTTGCGGAGGAGGACTCAAACGCGATCGGCAAAGTGTGTGGATGAAAACATGTCCATCGATGATGCCCATTGTAGCAGCTCCGAGAAAATGGTGAAGCAAATTTGCAACATTGAAGGATGTCCCGATTGAATTGTTGGAGAAACATCTGCGGTAACTTGAAGATCCAAAAGTGCCTTCTTACCTTGCCATCCACAATTTTTTTTTTGGGATTTTTTATTTTTTTAAACCCCTATTTAAATTTCAAACTCGTTTGTTGAAAATGTCCCTTTCTAATCGTTGAACATTGTTCAGTACCGTGCAGTGGTGGTTACCAAAACACGACGTACTATTGCGTACTAACTGCTCGTATCTACGACGCAATGGCTTGCAATCAAAGAACAAAATCTCCAACATGCTTTTGGCCGATGGGCAGCCAGCAACAGTTTCCATCGTTGTTCAGTCACATCTGGAGAAGGCGTGGAGAGAAGAAGGTTTGTTAACTGCCGGCCATTTTGGTGCACTGTTTATGAATCACCTTGTATATATTTGAAGACCGATTGTATAATTTGTTTGGGTTGAGGACAAGGACCCGGACCGAAACGAAATAACTGTTCCGTTCCGGTTTCGGTTCAAGGCCAAATTTAAAATTTTGGTTCCGTTACGGTTCCGGTTTAGAAAATAATTTCCAATTCGGTTCAGTTCCGGTTCTGTTTTTTTTTCGGTTCATTTCGGTTCCAAAATCTATTTATAACAACGAGCGAGGACGAAGATACTCTAATTAGGAATCTCACTATCTTTTTTCCTTGTTTGTTGTATTATACAAGATAAAAGATGCGCAAACGATCCACTGCTTCATACGGTACTTCGGCTGGTTGTATGGTAGAATATCAGTCTAGTCCAGAACGACTTTAAATGTGCTTTTGCTCTTTCTACTTGATTGTCATCTAAAACTACCTTATACCGAGGGTCCAAAAATATCCCAGCAAGAATTATTTTTCATTTGCTTGTAAAATGTATAGTAATTTCTTTCAAACGTTACAAGCAGAACCGAAAAAACCGAAATAAAATATTTCGGTTCCGGTTCAGCACCTAACAGTGTGTTAATATCAAATATGGGTTCCGTTACGGTTCCGGTCCAAAAAAAAAAACGGTTTCGTTCCGGTTTTGGGTCCATATCGGTTCCGGTCCGGGTCCCTGGTTGAGGATGTGGTGTAATTTGATTATTTTTCAATTGTATTTCCAATTTTGGATGATATTTCCAAGGTAAATTTCAAATATGTATATATTTTTTTCAAATCCGAACTGTTTCATATCTGATTCAGTTTTGCTGCTGTTGGTGAGCAACAACAAAAATTGTCTTAATGCATGTAGAGAAGCAAAATATATAAATTTTTAAATAAAACTGACTTCTTACGGGTCATATCCTCACTCTTTTTCATCAACTTCAGCTTTTCAAAATAAAAAAATACCTAGTTGCTTTCCGCATTCGCATGGTACTTTTTTCCAAAATCAAGTGAAATTAATTTGACTCTGTATATGAACGTCACAAATTCAGGTTAAAAATCGCAATTCCAAATTGAATGTCAGCATTAGTCAAAATTCACGATGCCATTACCAAAAGAAATCAAATCGAAACAGTCGAAGAGACGGGCACGCAGTAAACGCAGACCCCTGAAACGGTACAAATGTGGAAAAATTACTAGAAATCCTTTTCTGAATTTTCTGCGCTTCTGCAGAAAATCCACAAGGGGCATACCGGTGACAGAGATCGCAAAGACGGCAGGAAAGTTATGGAAAATGATGAGCGAAAGAGACCGATCGCCTTATATCAATATGGCCAGAAAAGCCCCAATCAGAAGACGCAGGAAGAGGGACGGACAACAAAAACACAACTGTTAAACGGTTCAAAAAGGTTTGCGAGGTGAAACGGATTAGGACATCAAATTATCAGATCAAATAACTTGTTATGCGTTTCTTAAGCAAATAAATTTGATGCGATCATTATTGTTTCGCTATATTATTATTTCAGTCAAGGGGATGAAGTGGGACATTACGTATTTACAAGTATTATCAGTGATAGGGCTTGGATAGATAAGCAGTTTTTTAATATTTTGTGTCATTTTTCTTAAACCAACCACAGACAGTTCTTGATCAATAATAATTTATAAAAAAAATGTTGATAACGAAAACACTTCACGTAATTAGAACACCTGCATATTGGTATTCACCTAATAAAAAGCATCCAAGGAAATGAATAGACAATTCGAAAAAGACAAAATGCTCTCATTAAATTAATTAGGTCCCTGGGACAAAAATTTAAAAAAAATGTCTACTTATTTCTCAGACGGTTTTTTCCGTTTAATTGAATCTGAACCGAATCAGTTTTGCAACATTTCCTTCGTTTACTTGAAACTACTCATCTTATGTTCCCAACAACAATATTTGACATTGTGATGAACTTTTATAAGTCTGGCACGTAAAACACAATACTCTTTCAGTCAGACAAACTATTCCAAGTACTATATACAGGGTTGCTCATTAGTGCGTCAAAGTGCGATATCTCAGTAAATATGAACTTTACAAGAAAATACGTCCTACGAAAGTTTTTCATGTTTAAAAGGTCCACATTCTAAAATTACTTTCCAATATACGGGGTGTATCATAAACGTGTGGTAGTTACCAACTTTGGTTTTTTAAATGGAACCGCCCCTTTTTTCATTCATTTTCAGATTTGTCAAAATTTAAGTTAAGTTTGTGTCAAACGTTTTACCTGAAAAATTTACGATTTCCGAGTTATTCGTAAAAATGTGAAAGTTTTGACAGCTACTGGGTTCCACAGAAATCGATGCTGTACACTACCCGCTGCGAATTTTGGAAAACAGTTTTCAGCGATTCTAACAGAACATCATGATCTACGCGTAGATATGTTT